GGCTCGCAAATAAGAAAAGCTCAAAACGTGAGACAATAAAGACATATGAACACGTTTTAATCTTCTTAAGTGTAGTTCAAAATATTTATTTCATATGATAAGAAAGGTTCATCGGGGAAAGGTTAGTATTTTCCCATCCTCGTTCTATATATCAATCTTACTATGATTGATATAATTAATGCATATACAGGATCGTGACCTTATGAGTCAAAAGCCTCAACCTTACACCATCAATTAATCAACATTATCATATTATGAAATGGCTAGCTTTCTTCGCGGATTACACACCAGACATATCAAAACAAAAATAGAGTCGTGCATCTAAGGCCATGTCAAACCGTTTCCTAGTTTCGCAAAAAACTACCCTTTTTAAATTCTGAACTACGTCGGAATATGGTATAGATCCCTTTTAAAGCCGAACGTGCTAAAGTCCTAAAAATCAACCCTAAGCATTGAACACGCACAAGAAGTAGAGTTCATTAAACCTAAGGCACTTAGTGTTGATACAAACTGTTTGTGTCATACAAAAAAAAAAAAAAGCAACACAAAATCATTTTGAGATTAAAAGCAAAATACAATTAGAATATTGTGTCTCCGTTTATTAAGGCACCTCTCCTGTGACAGCCATGATCATGTTGATAACACCTAATACTTTTATGATCAGAGCGTTACAGACGATTTCTCGCGTGCCTGCTTGCATGGCGGGAAAACTAAGTCAGCCTTACATGAGCCCGTGAAATGACATGAACGATATGCATGAATTACAAGGATGTAAAAGCACCGCTCCATATCATAGCTCAAAATGGACCACTTAAATAGTGTGTAGAGAGACAATTCCATTTCATTAAAATGATGATTTATAAACAATTATCAAATGTAATGTTCACAGTGTGAATTGGTTTCGCACTTTGGAAATTGAAAGAGGTAATTAATTTGACGAATTCGGAACCTCTTTAGCTTGCCTTCAATAATATAAAAAATAGTGCCGCTCATGCCAAAAATAGTACCGCCCATACAAAAAGCTATTAATATTAGAAATCAACATATTTTTTTGTTCTTGTAGATTCATAATATACATTAACTATTTTCAGTGCTATGTCATTTCACTTTCTTAATGTGTATCTTCTCAATCTAAGAAATTATTTCATTTTACTTTTTATGACAAACCTTAATTGATCTGCTTTTGAAGAAAATTCATGAATTCGTTTACATAATCATGCATCAGACACCTCCCCCAAGTATTAAAATCACAATAGCACTTTGATCAACCATTGATGGATTTGGTTGAACGGCTCAAATAAATACATAACCTAGAAAAATAACAAAAGACAACAACAACAACATATTACTTTAAAACTTATATGTACTCTGGCAAATAATATTATCTCCATAAATAATAGCATTTTTTTTAAAAGGGCATTTAAAAAAAATTTTCAATGACAAACTTGGCTTGAGGGTCCTCTGATCAATGAGGGGCTTGATTATATTGATTGCATACTTTAATCCTCTAAAATAACTTTTTGCTTAGTTAAACATACATTTAATTTCTTAAAGAGCATTTCAACATGCTCAGTTTGATGATATACAGTTCCATTTGCTAGTGAGCACCAACATTTTTTTTTCTGCTATCATAACATTTCAAGGTTCAAGGTAAACGTGTAGGTTTGGACCTTGAGAGACAAAAAAGAGTGGATCGCCATATTAATTGGATAAAACATTTATAACAATCATCAACACATAGAGACTCACTGGTAAGGCTCATGACATCATTTTGAAAGTTATCCTTGTTGAAATTAATGTAAAATGGAATAGCAAAATATGCAATTTAGAGCAGTAATATAAACTCTTTTTGATTATACCTCAAACTTCAGGAAAGACTACATATTCTTGCCATATTATTCCCTTTTTTGTAATATGAAATATTCTCTTTGTTCATAAATACAGACTTTATTTTGGACATGATTGCATACCAGAAATAAAGTAGGGAGAGAACAAAACAAACAAAAACCTCTCAAAAGAAAGGTCCCAAATGTACAAAAGATCTGCACAATTAAGGGAATTCTTATCTTTCCTAAAAAATTAACTCCCCCAACAACAACAAATTAAGAATCAAACAAATTAAACAAATCTTCAGTCAGCACAGATCAGGGTACAATATACTTGTATTTCATGTGTAACGATAAAATACATACCCAGCAAAATTTTGCTGATTGGTTTGACTTTTGTTCTAAATGCACAAAAATATTATATAATTTGTAAAATGTATAGTATTGTATAATTATGTGTAATTTGAAGAGCTGTACAATATATTAGATTTTTAGAACAGCTTATGATTATGTGATTGATAAATGATGTAAAGGTGTGAATTTGGATATAATAATGGTATTAATGCCATACACAGACTCATTTTCCATACTTATTGTATAAATTGTACATATGTCTTTATGTCATATATGTGTGCTAAATATTTGCAATCATTATTTATACAACAGTACAAAGACAATTCTTGTAAAAATATGCACAAATTTGACAATTGTAAAGTGCAATACTAGAGATGACTGACATGCTATATAGTGCTCAATTTGGCTGGCTGGCTGGTTATTTTTGTGAAGTATTGATGTCCTAATCCATTCTCTTCAACCATTCTCTCTACCATATTGTATGTATTAATTTAATTATCCAATCTAAGGATAAAGTCACAGCATTTGAAGTGCAGTGGAATTGAAATAGTAATCATAATATCATAGTAAACAGAAATGAATAAACCAGTTTCTTTTAATAACATAGTTGTTTATATCATGTGCTTGTTGGATTACAAAATCGGTAGAACACTCCTATCAAAAAAAATTATTCAAAATATAGGTAAAGATTAAAATGAGTTGTAAATAATGTCTATTTCTAAAAGTTATCTGCAATCTAATATGCTTTTCACACTGGCAAAATTGTCCTAAGCCCCTTACTATTGATGCAGTTAAGAGGGGTCTTATTCTCACCTCTAGTACGGGGCTAAGCTTTTAATAGCCTTCATTTTCACACTCTGGTTTTACCAAAGTGGGCTAGCCCAACAGATAGTACGGGGTTATTTGGCCCCGGATAAAGCCAGAGTCAGCACCGCCATTGCGGCACTATCTCTTGGAATTGGGTGCTAACAGCTCAAGTGAGAACAGAACTCAAAATAGTCCGGGGCTAAGGAAAGCGGTGCTAACCTGTGAAGGTGTATCCAATCAAAGGTAGTCCGGGTTAATGGTTTTGAGTAAGAACAACATGGATTTCCTTAGCCTGGGTAAGGCAAATAGTACGGAGCTAAGAAAAGTTAAACCAAGTGTAAAAATCCCCCCCCCAAAAAAAAAGAAGAAAAAGAAGATAGTACGGGGCTAAGGGGTAGTACAGGGCTAAGGATAGTAACGGCCTGAGAATAACGAGTGTGAAAAGCATATTAGGTGCTCCAATTGTTAACTATGTAATGAAAGACAGAGCGTTTCCATTTCACATATTTCATGTATTTCTTAACACAAATCTCAATTTAATATTTTGGTCAGTTATGTCAATAAAACAGTGCATGATTATTAACATTGATCACATATTTCATGTATTTCTTAACATAATCTTAATTTAATATTTATGGTCAGTTATGTCAATAAAATAATGCATGATTATTATCATTGATCAGACTAAATGAAAATATATCATTTAAGATATTTACTAAATAGAAAAGGAACAGCAGGGTAATGTAATAGAAATTAAAAGTAATTCTCAAGATTATCTTGCTCATATCAATCATCCATAATGCCATTATATTTCCACAACCAGTACTGATATTGCTGAAACGTCTGTTCAGAGACAGAAGGGCGTTTCTCTGCTTTAAAGTTTATGAGTTAACGCCCTTCTGGCTCCAAACAGACACTTTTTTCTTTTTGATGGTTACAATGCTATGAACACTTTCCATCCCTGATAAGCCTATCCAAGTGTTACAAGGGTTCAAATGGTCAATTTGTTGAAATACCTATTTCTACTCTAAATGAACAAATAGTCAAATTACCATCAATTTTTTTCAACCAGTCCCCAGGAACAAATCACAAAAGTTATCAATGAGCTATAAAAAAGTTATTACCTAGGGGATCCTTCAAAGCAAACCCCTGTGATCAAACAATGGCTGAAAATCATATTTTCAAAAATGACAAAAAAATAAATCAAAATTTGGTCCATAATTTAGACATTCTACGATAATACAAAGGTGTGATATGCTGTACAACAAATTAAGGGCATATATAGTATCGTCTGTTTAGAGCCAGGAGGGCATTTCTCATATACTCTAAGACAGAGTTAACCCTTTCCTGGCTCCAAGCAGACTATGTCATATACTCTATGTCTCTCACCAAATTTTTCAAAATATTTCCTGTAATTGTTGTACCTTATCCAAATAAAATAATTTGAAATATATATTTCTATTAACACATGTATATTACATTCTTATGATGATGTAACATACTAAATAGTCATGTATCTGACTTTATACAACAATCAATAGACTCAATACCATTTATCAATGGGATTTAATAGATAACATACCATGATAATATTGTTTTTTTGGAGCAAGATGAGGGTTAGCTTTGTGTTTAAGTATATGAGCTACTCCGAATAATGATATAGTGAGTTACGGTCAGCGCAGAACCAGTTCTTACCAAATATATCTTTTGTTCTTATACGACCAGTACCTTGTCTTGAATTCCCACCTATTATATCAAACTAATGCTTTGTCTCATTGATTTCGTCTTGTCTCGCATATATGTCACTTTACTGTAAAATAATGTGTGGTGCAATTCGAGATTAAACATGGGAGTAACTTTAGTGCAAACTGCAATGTTCAACTTGCTCTTCTTATTCCGCATATATGTCACTGTAGAAACCATGATTGCAAAAGAACAATTTATATAAAATATGATATATTATATAAACCCTATTTGAACCCGGTTTACTGTGTATTGTTGTTGTTTTTGTACAAAAAAATAAATATTTACATCACACAAGAAACCGCTGCCTAGACTACTGTGTGTCACTAGTCTGAATCGTCCTCATCAAGATATTCATCGTCGTCGTCGTATCCTAGGGAGAAAACAAACAAAAATGGGGAAAAGAGTGTCAGTTTGACTTGATGTACTGATAAACAATTTCCCTCGTATAGCAACAATAGAAATCAAGGTCACTTTGAGTTCAGGGTATCGTCTTTAAAGAAACCATAAAAAGTACAAGTTCACCGATGTCCCATTGAAATGTGTGTTAAATTCAATACACACATATCAGTGGGGTGTCGGCGAACTTGTGAAACTTTGTGAAATGCTGCCCTTGACATGACAGAAACAAAATCGTCGCAGAATAACCATGCTCAAATTAAATGCTAAAAACTACAAATATCTACCTAGTAAATAATGGTATTAAAATATGTATCATAGCTGAAAAGAAGAAATGAGCAAATAATTGAAGGCACACCATGCATTCTCATATAGGAGAATATATGAGTTGGGAATTTGAATGAATGCCACTTCTTTGTATCTGTGAATGTTTTTGGCCTTATACTAGCTTGAATTTCTTCAAGGACACATGAGTTAAAATGACATATCCATGTAACAACAATACATCAAAGAAGAAATCAAATGAATCTATTGTCACCCGCACTTGCCTTTCATTTAGATTTTATTGTTTAATGGCGGCTGTTTTGCAGTGGTTTACCACGCTGTATTTGAACAAGCCTTTAGAGCCGTTTTAAATCAAGCAGAACAGGATGACAGACGAGTTGAACATCACCAAACAATGACAAATCATGTTGAGGGATACCCCATTGCCTCTTTTAACTAATTGTCTCAGTAATCTTACCCCACTGACGATACGATAAATTAAACAATTGTTTAATGTCCCACAATCAAAAAATAATTTGAGGACTGTGTACCTACTCAACAGTGACATTTCATGGAAAGTTAGATGTCATGATCATTATTATTATTATTTATTTATCTATTTAATTTTGTTTTTTTTATTTTTTTGGGGGGGATTAATCACTTTTAATTTTGTAGAAAAAAATCCAATGTTAATCATTTAATGAGGGAAGATTATTGTACTTATATATGAGTTGTTTTAAATACTAAAATTGAGGTACAGTTACTATGAATATATATATATACCGGTTTATACATTTTCTTATATTTAATGTTTCAAAAGTGGAATGATAGCAGATAGCTCTAAATTCCCTGAGACTAATCTCAGGTAGCATTCCGCAATAATAATCAACATTATGCTATGTATTTTTATTCAAATTCATTAAAAGGATAAAGTGCCTCCTCCTCCTTTTCCTCTACTCTTTTTACCCTTCTTCTTCTTCTTCTTCTTCTTCTTCTTCTTCTTCTCCGTCTCCTTCTCCCTCCCTCTCCTTCCCTCCCCTCTCTCTCTCTCTTCCTCTCCTCCTCCTCCTCCTCCTCCTCCTCCTCCTCCTCCTCCTCTTCCTCTTCCTCTTCCTCTTCCGCCTCCTCGTCCTCCTCCTCCTCCTCCTCCTCCTCCTCCTCCTCCTCCTCCTCCTCCTCCTCCTCCACCTTCTTCTTCTTCTCCCTCTTCTCCTTCTTCTTCAATGTATTCATCAACATTATTCTTGTCATTAATTATCAATATCACATTTATTAGCTCTATCACAACGATAATAACAGTCACATTTTGTATAGCACCTAATACCACACTTTTAAGCACTTTACAAGTTTGCATTTAATTATCATTACCCTGGGCCCCGTCTTACAAAGCTTGATATTGATATCAATATCAACTCTTTGTAAGACGGGGCCCTGGTCGTTGGATTAAATTACTTATCCATACATGATAGTGTACATGCTCTGCTCCCTGGGGAGTATTCCCCAGCTACACAATTACCCACAATTACTTGCTTCATTGTATATGCAGTAAGTTTCATCATTGCTATGAATACTTGTGGGAGATAAACGGCCTATCCTCTGCACTGATCAGGTTGTATAGGTGTACCACTAGGCCTTAAAAAAAGATGTTGTATTGCCCTTTAGGTGCCAAAACATGGGTCAGTTGGTCATAATTGTTTTTTATTTTAAACTGATATTTCTCAGTTTTGAATGCTTTAATATTTTTTCTCTCTAAAAAACGTTTTTTTTTTGGGTTTTTTTAAAGACGACCGTAGATTTCAAGATTTTGGGGTCGGTCGCAAAGGGCAATACAACATCTTTTTTTAGGCCCTATATACACCCAATTTCACTGACTCTTTACAAGATGTACTCTGAGCTATTTCCTTGCTTTCCTACCACTGTACCTCCAATTTACATCCCATCCAAGGGACACAGTGCATTTTGATGGCTCCTGCATCTTACAACCAAGGGAGGGGCATATTCAACCAGGCTTCAAGGATACTAATCAACTAACAAATTATTTGTGTACGGCTAGTAAGTATATAATCAACCTATGAATGTTTCCCTGAATGCTATGGGTTAACTGTTGAAACTATTTTAACTTGCCATATCACTTTATAATTTTCAACGAATGTGTGAAGCTCATATTTTGAATTTAGTATAGTAGCATGGAACCCCAAATGAACAAAGCAAAATAATTGTTGCTGATTGGTTCTCCTTTAGTCAGCTGCCTGAGCTGGTCGCATTTGTTTTTTTTACCACGCAAACCCTGGACTAGATGACCCAGGTCATCTAAACGACTATCATTATAATCATTACCATTCTGACTGGTTCAATGCATTCATCATACTTACTGGAATACAGGTTCAGAAATAAACAATTATCAATATTACTTTGAACCCTGCGATAGGCATGGCATGGTGTGTGGGTGGGTGTTCGCTAAACACTTCTCAGAAATGACAGGGAACAATGCTTGCAGCTTAAAGGGATTGTTTAACAATGTCAAATCTGAGATACACGGCCCTACGCATTATCAGTGTCTGTGATATGGTGTAATATTGAAGCCCTAAAAAAAATTGCGCTTCAAAATGATCAAGAAGTGCCTCAAAAAAGTAAAAATCTTTGAGTGACCGGTTTTACCATACTCTTTTTCCCCAATAGACTGCAGTGTTATGAAAACCGTCAGGCGAACGATTTTCAAAATTTGTAATTCCAATCATAAATATCTTGATAATCAGACAAGCGATCGGCTTGTAAAAGTCATGGGGTTCCTGAGTGACCTAAAGGTTTATAATTATCATTGCATCATGAGCTAAATCCAGAATTTTGGTTCAGAATCTGAGACAAAGTTACCGGATCCCTTTAACACTAACATATCAATTAATCATCAGTATTAAAAAGTAACCCTACTGCTCCAAGTTGAAAAATGGAAAGAAATAAACAACGTCTGCCACGATATCATGAAAAGTACACACTACCTCCCATGCATCTAATAACTGCAACAACAACAAAATATTGTGTATATGAGGAAAAAGGGAGATGAAGAGAGAGAGAGAGATGGGAGGAAAGATGGGAGGAGAGAGACTCACAGGAGAAAAAGAGGAAGAGAGGAAGAAAGTGAGAAGGGAAAGAGACTTGGAGAGAGAAAGAGAAAGATAAATAAAGAGAGAAAAAGAAAGAGAAAAAGAAGAGAAAAGGAGAAAGATATAGAGAGATAGTAAGAGAGAAGGAGAAAGCAGTTGAGACAGAGTGAGGGGAGGGAGAGAGAGAGAGAGAGAGAGAGTGAGAGAGTGAGAGTGAGAGAGAAAGAGGGAGAGAGAGACAGAGAGAAAGAGGGAGAGAGAGACAGAGAGAAAGAAGAAGAGAAAGACAGAGAGAAAGAGAGAGAGAGAGAGAGAGAGAGAGAGACAGTGGCAAGACAGGAGACAGCATGATTTTTTTAAAGGGAGAAAAAAGAAGAACTTGAAATGACTTTACACCTTTGAATCAAAATGCAACAATGATAATAATAACATTGGATATTTTTATAGCACGCATATCCACTACACAAGGTGCTAAAGAAGCTTTAATAATATATGAAAATAACAAATGGTATTAACGCAGAAAGGTGTTTCTACCATGCAGACCCTACAAAAACAAATTCCATGTTTTCAATGAAAAAATATGAATATTGTGAAATTTTTGCAATATGAAATGGAGAGAATAAAGTAAATAATAAAGTTCAAGCCATATCAATGCCGATCGTGATGAATAAGATAACAAATTTCGAACAGTTTTAAACTGTTCAAAATTATCACACCTGTGAATTCAAGATAAACTTGAGTTCTGGTAAATGTAGAAATAAATTCTCACAGAATCCAATCAAACTTACACTGAATGTTCAAGATAAATGACATGTGCCAAACAATTATTGGTAAAAAATGTATAGTGGCCGATTGATGAGCATAGAAAGATAAGGAAATCTGACGTAACTAGGCCCGCCGACACCATGTCCTTTTTTAGTATTTTGTGACATATCAAATATTGATATAATGATAAAACTTTGAAAACTCAATGAAGTATTGAACTGAAGAAGAAAAAAAATCATTAATAGAATTATGTTCAATAAATAAAGCAATCTAATTTGCTGAATTTCAGGCAAAAATCCTCATTGCATTGATACAATGAAATATGATAGGAGAATGTAGGTCTGTCCGAATGGTTCACTTTGCAATGAAAAAAGAACAAGAAAAATAATTGTCAATTAAAGTATCAAACAAAACAGATATTACCCAGTCTTTTGTACTACATATCTCTCTAAAATCATGAAATATTAAGACAGAATTAAAGAACTTTGTTTCTAGACTAGTCGATTCTCCATCTATTTTATAAATAAAACAGTTTGGATTAACTGTAGAAACTTAAGCGAGAGAAGTAATAACTCCATTGCATGAATGAAAAGAGAGAGAAGAAAAAAAACACCACCAAACCAATATGAAACACGTAGGAATCAACAAAATCAACCAGTGATTCGTACCTGACCCAATTGTCATATTAATAATGAGTCCGACTTACCAACAATAGAGGCTTTAAATAAACAGATGAAAAGTCATGAAGGAGAGATTAATTTCACAATTTCCATTTGATGATTGCATTATTTAAGCTGAACATAGGAGGCAAAGTTCCCTCATTAATACTAATTTGACATTTGTTAATTTGATAGCGGCGGCAGGCTTCAAATAATAACTGGCATCAACGACTGGTTATTCATCGATTATTCATCAATTATTTATTTGTGCAGCATGCAAAGTTCATCATCGCATATGTATTTTTTTTGTAATATCATAACCAATGGTCTGGCACAAACGATATCAAATTGGTTGTAAAATGATGAGTGAGTCATGGAGAAAAAAAATGTATTAAAAAAAAAAAGTTTAAAAAAAATTTGTCCAGAGCATATTTCGCTTAATGAACTTTACAAAGATGTATCAAGAATTTATAATCTACAGACTGTTAATGCATTAAGATCAAATGGCACAACTAGAATTATCTGCCTTCCAAGGTCAGAACACTGAGGAGGAGGGCATAATGCATATAACCATGGCCAAAGATTTGAGGACTAGCAGTGGAAAGGGTGGGAGGGGGGGGGGGTGGGTCTTTGCGTCTTTTTTCACATTTCCTTCCCCCTTGCACTCTTATTTCTCACTAGTTCTCTTTCTCGCCCTCCACCACTGCTTCAAAGTATATCATATAGAGAACATGAGTGCACACCTTGTACAAGTGCAAAGAAGTGCAATGTTAAAATCCCCCTTTGACAAGCATTTGCTCATGTTAAACACAGACAGTTCTCAAAGTGTTGTCAATTAAAATATCTCAGAATGCTCTGAATGCTATGTAAAAAAAAAAAAAGATATTAAATTTTTTTTTTTAGCACACACCAGTCCCCCATCTACAACATGCATGACATTTAGACACTGCCCCCCCCCCCGCCCCACTCAGTTTTTGGACCCATGCTACGCAACAACTTAAAAAAAAGAGAATTCTAGTTGTCATTTATTTTAAGAAAGAAAAAATTATACAGTTTTCATAAACGATTACATGTTTTGAACTTTTCCACACCCTTCCCAAATTTAAAAAAAAAAAAAAATTCTGTACACATGGCATCTCAGTCCATGAATCAAATACAACAGCTGGTGATTCTTGGCCAATATCCTGCAAAAACCAAACTCCTAACTTCAACCCTGGACCAAATACTATGTTTAAACCTGAAATTATCAACCTAAAACCCAATGGCAACCATTATCTTGACCCTAAATCCATGATGAAAAATGGAGCCTGGAGCAAATGTCACAGAACAAATATCCGGTCATCCATCGCCAACTTTATCTGCTCTTTTTAGCTTGTAGGCCTACATCCATTTTTATCCAATCATCATAAAGGCAAGCATTTATGACTACTTAATGATTCAGTGTTATAAACTATTAAAAAAAACTTTATTTGCTCTTTTTTTACTTTGTAGGCCTATATCCATTCCCTATCCAATCATCGTAAAGACAACTATTTATGACTACTTAATGATTCAGTGTTATAAACTATTTACAAAAAAAGAGAAATAGGAGCATAATACAGAGTCTGATTCAATTCCTATTTCTATTTTCTCTTTCTCGTATTCATCGTCATATGTAAGGCCATCAATGTTGCTTTGTAGTCAGAAGTTTAATTCCCTGATCAATGAATCAGAATGATAACTGTTTCCATCAACGGAAGATACATTTTTCATTCCCAATTTACAAGCTTGAATCGGGGATGAAAAATTAAATTGAATTAATTGTAGCCTGCATCCTTCACACTTACGAGTATCTGTTGTTTAAATGTGGGTTATAGTCTATAGAACTGGGTTGCTCGATGATTGCTTGTTATTAATACATTTTAGTTGTGGATGAATTATTCAAACATGATTGCTGCGACATTGAGAAGCAGGGCCCTCCAGAGGGTGTGCAAACAGACGAGTTGTAATTTTTCATCACATTAAAACGTGTCATACTCAAGCAAAACGTCGCTTAATATGAGAATGCACTTTGAATGATAGGAAGGGAGATATATTCTGGATTAATCTTCAATTGGCAGGCATAAGTGATTAAAGGGAATGTAAACAAATACTGAAGGGGCTCAAATCCCAAGGCGTAGGATGACATGTGGTGGTGGCTACGCCAACTAGAGCGTAAACGGAAGGAGGGGGGGTGGGTGTGTTCGATTCAAAATAATCATAGACTTGTGGCTTTCCATGAATAATGAGAATGGGTCATGAATTCTTCATCTGTGCGGCGAATAGACGAGGGATTGATACTTGTGTAATATTCCCATCCCCGACGGCCCTTTGTATTTATCTGGACCAGAAAATTAATTCACGTACTATTCATCCCCCTCCCATTGATTGAAATTTGCTTTTCTCTCACTCTCTCTCTCTCTCTCTCTCTCTGTCTCTTTGAGTCTCTGTCTGTCTGTCTGTCTCTTTCTGTCTCTGTGTCTCTTTCTCTCTCTCTCTCTCTCTCTCTCTCTCTTTGAGTCTCTGTGTCTCTGTCTGTCTCTCCCTCTCCCTTTCTTCCTCCCTCCCTTCCTCTCACTTTCTCTCTCTCTCTCTCTCTCTCTCTCTTTCTGTCTATCTCTGTGTGTTTGTCTCTGTCTGTCTGCCTCTTTCTCTCTCTCCCTCCCCCTTTCTCTCTCTATCTCTCTCTCTCTTCCTCTGCCCCTCTCCAAGTCACAATCTCTCTGCTTGTATGTCTATCTGTCTGTCTGTCTCTCTGTCTTTATGTCTCTATGTCTTCTCCATCTCTCCATCTCTCTCTCTCTCTCTCTCTCTCTCTCCCTCTCTTTCTCCATCCCTTTTGTGGACACTGTGATTAAATTGGGAATGCTTTCAGGGTCACCATTAGCTTTCTATCACGAAACCACACAAATCTCACAATAGTGATGGTTATGGGTTTTTCTTTGAATGTAACCTGACAGCCAGCCTGTTGAGTGAGCTCGTTACTATATCAATTTCTAACCAAGGACTTCTGATGAAGTGTGCACCAATTACTGCATGTATTTCCTGTATTTAATTCCCTCTCCCCTCTCCCCACTGTGTGACCATAGGTACATGATCACTAGCAATGTCAAAAACAATTGGTCTCCTTGTTCTTTCTCGTCCACTGATCTAGAATCCCGAAAGGCCAATTTATCAACACATTTATCCATCTGCTTATGAGTTTCAATGTTTTACTGAGCACAGAATTATACTTATGCATTTTTCTATACTGATGCGCTTAGAGACTTCGATGGAAAGCACTTTAAGTTCTGTTTTTATTATTATTATTATTATTTATACATAGAAGATTCAAAATCCACTTCTGGGGAGTCACATTAGAGATCTCTTCGCACGGAATGTAAAATGCTTTTTTTTTTGGGGGGTGGGGGTACTACTTTGAGTGGATTCCTCTATAATTTGGACTCAGCTCAAAAGGAAGGGATCACTAATATGACTCCTAAAAATGAATATTTACAACTCCTCTGCATATATCCCCAGTTTACATCAATCAGTAATTTCTCTCTCTTTCTCTCTCTCTCTCTCTCAAATGAACTACCTTTGCCAATGGATACACGTTTTCAAATATGTTCCGAGGGTATATATTTAACAATATTGGAAAGTTGATATAGAATATATGCAAAGATTATTGCGATACTCATATTAAATTCCAAATACTTTGTTCATCAACCATCAAAATGATAACAATATTTGAAGGTACTGATGTGGTAACACAAGATTTCTGTCACCACACTCTTATATTAATGTCACCACAGTCTTATTATACAGGTGATACAAGGCAGAGTAAACAATTCCATCCGATTCAAGGAAATTACGGTAGGCTCTCTCTCTTAGTAAAAGCAGTTGAAAACAATTTCAAGTATATGGTGCGGTGATCTTTACGGATGTGACGGTTGATCATAACCCAAGTCAATAAAGTTATCCACACACATACATGTACTGTACATAGAATGTCTACACCATGTCCACTCTCTGAAGTACTATGTATATTCCTACCATTAAGGTAAATCATAGTTGTTTTTGGCATCATAACATGTACCAAAGCTCCATTCCATCCCTGGTTGTAGAGTGGCAAATACAGATGAATGCCTTGCCCAAGAATATGAGCACCATTCCAAATTCAAACCACTCAACTTCACCATTAGTCACATTTATATCATAAGTCCTAATAAAGGCTGCTTAAGGACGGATGGACAATCAGAAAACATAATGCCTCCAGCTACTTTGTAGCGGAGGAATAAAAAAGAAAAATACTACTCACTTCTCTGAGGTAGAAGAAGTGCTGCAGTAGCGGGATCTTTTGAAGCAAGTTGTTGAGGAATTTTACCATCATTGTTTGGCAAGTCTGTCCGTGCTCCTGTTGGGAATAATGAAACAAAAAGATCACTCAAACCATGCACGCTATAAACTGAGGTCTGGGTAATTGGTCATGCATCTGAAACAAAATAGAAAAATGAACAAACAGACAAACAAAAACTAATACAAGATTGTCAATAGCAAAAGTAAATTCCTTTTCAGAGGGATAGTTATCTTGTAGCCATGTATAACATTTAAAAATTATAAGTTTGTTTAAACTGCATGAACAGATTTTGTAAGACATCAAAATACATATATTCTCTTATCCTTTTATATAAAATAACAAGGTAGACTGATATGCATCCACATCTCCTACACCAGTGTTGTTATATTGGTCTGTTGAGTCAAAATCATGTGATGAAGAAAACAATTAAACACAACTTGCTGTGCTCATACAAAAATCACCTACATGTACTGTTTATATATATTAGTAGCTTCAATCAAATCTTACAAAGCTGATTTGAAGACTTCTTTGGTACTTATATCAAATTTCAGTGCAGACTAAATCATGTGGGGGTAGGGCATTTTGAAAGGTAGCACCAGAACTTTAGAAGTGACTCCCAAACAATTGAAGGAATATATCACTCAGTTGGATCAATCTAAATCCAAGCTGAAAACACAATTGTTCTTGAATGTGTCATCTAAGTTTTTGTGACATTAATCAGGTGATGTTCTAACAGAAATATAAGAAATGTACAATTATTACTATTATCATTATTATTCCATTATTCCATAATTCTACATTGGTGAGGAAAACTGAAACGGGTACATAGTGTGAGTATCGGGACTGGGTTATTCTTTCTAACACATCTCTCCAAGAAAGAATAATCCAGTCCTTATAAGAACTACACACAGTGGTCAAGTTTTCTTCCTCGTCTACCTCACCGTTATTATAATAATAACAATAATATGGATATTTATATAGTGCCGGTATCCGCCACGCTCTGAAGCTCATGGCACTTGACACATACTACCCTGGTTGTAGCCGAACTGCCAAAGTAACTAGCGATCAAGCTTATCAGGTACTCATTTACACCTGGGTGTAGAGTGAGAAATGTAGATTAACATCATGCCAAAGGACGTAAGTGCTGCGGCGGGACTTGAACCCTGTGCCTTGTGATCTGCAGTTGGGTGACTTATCCATTAGACCACAACACCTCTACCATGCAAAACTATAAAGAACTTTAATTCTACATTGTTTTACCTTTTTCTAAGAGAATCTGTACTCCTTCCTTGTGTCCTTTCCACGCTGCTGCATGTAACGCTGTGTCTCCAATCTTGTTCTGAAAAGAGATACAAGAGATTTGATTTGATTTGATTTGATTTTCTTCTACATTCATATAATTACAGAGTTTTTTTGATAACAATAATAATATAAAGTACAATAAGCATTTTTCTGACAGTTAATCATAACTAAGCAAATATATATAACAATTGTTATTTTCAAAAACGAAATGATAAACTCTCATAAATAAAATGTAATCAAACATTATACAATTTTTTGCGGAAGGAGGACTGTCGTTGTAAGCAGATTGCTTGAAAATATGACAGCCCCAGACAAAACTCATGAAATAGATTTACACATTTATTCAGCAGAATGGATAGGTAATTAAAAATAAGAATTATAAGGATAATGATATGGACAATGCAGATGGAATACATGATGGGATAGAACACATGAAACCTTCATGATGGCTTATCCCCACGGTAATTCATGCTCAATAGACCGGTTTACTAAAATATTCCAATTTTATGCATACTTTTTAAACGAAGGTTGTTCCTGACAACTGAATGCTTGCCTGAAGCTTGCTCGAGATAGCAACAAGTAATACAGATTGGATTCCAAGTATTGTAGTTCATTCATTAATAACAGGTCAATGGAATAACTAATCACTAGGTCTCCAGGAAAGAACCATTGATAACTGTGAATATAATCTGGAGGCTTCCTGTTTTCAAGTGTATGCTTTTTGTTGTCCTCCTTTTCTTGTTCAAATGTAATTATTTACGAATATACAATCTGATGTTTTATTTGATGTTCAAGAATAAAATTATTTGAGTTGAATTGAATTGTTAGTAAATCAGTCCATCAAAAAACAAATAAGCTATAGAGATAACCATTTAATTCTTGAAGTCTTTAGTTACATTATTTGTATTAAAACTTGGTGGTACAAATGATTTACATGTAGTCATACATTTAACTTGTATTTACAAGAAATAGATAACCCCCAATAGAACAAAGACAAAGACAAAAACAAAATCAAAAGAATCAACAAAATAACCAAAACAAATCGGAACAGGTTTAATTTACATAATTCGCACATGTGATGTACTTGTACTAGCTTCCCTATAGTCAACATTCCTACATGTATTTCAGGTATATATCATTCCTTGGGCAAAGCCCAGTTTCAAACTGGCCAGTGAGTATAATGCTCTTAGCAAGAGATGGCGCTGTCACATATCATGATGGAGCTATAATTGATTTTGGTCAAATGTGTATACTGTAAGTTGCCTAAAATATCACAAATTCAAGTGTGAATGTGGCTATATTTCACCTCCATCTATCATGTGTTTATCATCAGCAAGTAATAACTGAATCTGATTTCATCAAAAATAAGCTATCTAGAATCCTGCCAAGTCTACATAAAAACATTTGCAAGCATTTTGCTCTAGATATGAGCGATTACCCAGCATCTGATATGAACACTGAAAATGAAAAAGATGAAGGAATGAAGCCATTTTGACAATGATGATAGCCTTCACTATGAACATGACGGACAAAGAAAGCGGACAAAATATACAGTTCCTCAAGTAGACAAAGGAACATCCCTTCACTGCTATTATGTAAAAATTTGTAGAACAGGTAAATATGCATGTGACACCTGTTCTACACATTTTTACATAATAGCAGTGAAGGGATGTTCCTTTGTCTACCTGAGGAACTGTATATTTTGTCCGCATTCTTTGTCTGTCATGTTCATAGTGCTTGTTGAAGGCCTGAGTGAAGCCAAGATAAAAGAATGTCTGATTGAGGGAGATGCCACAGTTGCTACACAAAGCATTTGGTGTGGCTCACCTGAGGATAGTGATTACAACAAGCGTATATATGTGAAAGTTGTGTAGCAACTCCAACAGATTATTAGCTCTGGAACTCAAGCTGAAGTCATTAACCGACAACCGTTCATTACCGTTCTCGACTCTTAATCCTTGTCTGAATTAAGTTCCACCCCCACCTTCCTGCTCGAAGCGCGGAAGCTTTGACGTTTTATTAAATTATTAGAGAAAGAAGACGATTCGATGTACCGTTCTCGACTCTTAATTCTGTCTGAATCTGAAAAAATGTTCTTTGTCTACTCCCTTTTCTTCCTACGTCCTCTTCCTTTTCACTCCTCTCTTTTTTGGGGGGACCACCTCACCCCCCCCCTGGCTACGCGCCTGCGGTCAGATGAACAAATGTTGATACCTTGTCCGCCCCCGGAAGCTCAGGGATTTAAGGCAATAATTTACGGTCAGATTAGCATTCAGGGGTCCGCCTTATGGCCCTAGGTGGGGTTCAGGGGGAAGAGCCCCGGAAGTTCAGGGTTTTGGGGCATTTAGTTACAGTCAGATGACCATTATTTTGATACCTAATTGTGACACTGGCAGGTCACGAATTGACGTGGGGTTCAGGGTGCTCTTGGGGCTCTTGGTTGGGTCCAGGGGGCAGAGCCCCCGGAAGCTCAGGGGTTTTAGGCGTTTAATTACGGTCAGATGAGCATTTTTTGATACCTTATTATTTTGTGACACTGGCAGGACAATATTTGGCGTGGGGTCCAGGGGGCAGAGCCCCCAGAAATCAGAGGTTTTAGGCGTTTAATTACGGTCAGATGAGCATTGTTTGATACCTTATTATTTTGTGACACTGGCAGGACAATATTTGGCGTGGGGTCCAGGGGGCAGAGCCCCCAGAAATCAGGGGTTTTAGGCATTAAATTACGGTCATATGAGCATCTAAGGGCCCGCCTTAGGGCCCTAGGTGGAATCCAGGGGGCAGAGCCCTCGGAGTTTTAGGCATTTAATCATGGTCAGATGAGCATATTTTGATACCTCATTATAATGTGACACTGGCAGTTAACTATTTTTTTTCTTTCTTGCTCTCTTTCTTTCTATTTCTCTTTAATATATTTTTTAAAAAAGTGGGGGGGGGGGGGGGATCGAGGATCCCGATCCCTGCCGTTCCCCGGCCCTGACATGTACATGTAGGTATCTCAAGAAGCATTTTCTTGCCTGGCTGTGAATTTAGGAATTTGTCATTTTCCAACAAACGCATAAAAAAGTATAATTTACATGTACTTAAAAGTGAGGAAAAATCTCGGAAAATTATGTCATTTCAGCATTATTTGTAAACCACCGTTATGGAATTAGAAATAAACCACGTTTGAATTTTATTTCCCCAAAGCCCCCCCCCCCCCCCCCCCCAATCTACACCTTGTTGGCGGGAAAATTGCAACTGATATCCCTTACCTTTCATCATTCTCTTTTTTTCTTCTTTCCCTTTCTCTCCTCTTTCCCTTCCCTTCCTTTTCTCTCTCTTTTAGGTTTGCTGGGGTGGGGGGCAAAGTCATTTTGACCCCCACCCCGCTGCACACATTGTTGGCGGGATTAACCGCAACTGATCTCCCCTTCTTTTCTTCTTCCTCTTTTTTGTTCCCTTTTAGCTCTCCCGTTTTCCTTTTCATTCCTTCTCTCTTTTTTTAGCGGGGATGGGGGGGGGGGAGCAAGGGCCTTTTGCCCCCCCCCCCCCCCGATCCACAACTTGTTGGCGGGAAAATTGCAATTGATATTTCCCTTCTTTTCTTTTCTTCTTCCTCTTTTTTCCTTCCCTTTATCTCATCTTTTCCTTTTTTCTTTCCCTTTCATTCCTTCTCTTTTATTGTTTGATTGGGGGGGGGGGGGAGGCAACAGCCTGGGAGGCAAGTCCTCCCCCCCCCCCCCGATCTCCTTTTTCCCTCTTTTATTTTCTTCTTCCTCTTCTTTTTTCCCTTTCTCTCCTCTTTCCCTTTCCCTTCTTTTCCTTCTCTCTCTCTCCTTTTTTTTTTTTGGGGGGGGGGGGGGGGGGGGGCCAAGGCCCGCTCAGCCCCCCCCCCCTGGATCCACGCCTGCCCAGTTCTTTCACTCCTCTCTCTTTCAACAATTTCTGCAGACTGTCCATCCAATGTATCCTCCTTCTTCCCCTACTCCTTCTTCCTACAATTTTCCCTTTCAAAGCAAGATTCTCTAGGCCTTCTTTACGTGTAATGTGACCCAAGAACTTCAACTGCCTAATCAACATCTCAAGTGCCCTCCAGCTCGTGTAAGAACTTCCTCATTACCTGATGATCATATGACGGAAAGTCTCAAATCTCAACTACGTCAATATCGTCAAACACGACAAAAAGATTCAAAAATTGAAAATAATCGACCGATGTCATTGTACTAAGCGATTCTATGCTTCGGTAAACTCAACTCAGGAAACTTTCAAGCTTGAAATATATGTTTCAGTATCAATTTCACTGTTACTATGTTACACAAAGATCCTAAGTTGAACATATCTCTATTAAAGTTGGACTTAACAATTATTGAAAGCCGTTAGCATCATTGAAAATATTTCGTAAAAATTATTTTAAAAGGCATAAAATGTTGATTCAAATCATCCAGATTTTCTATTATCTTGGGAGATTTAATTTTCTTGATGTGGAATTTATGAAAAGTCTAAAATACTTGAATTTTGCTTTCGAATGTATTTCATTATATGGCTACAAATGGCTCTCCATAATATTTAAGTCCATCTTAGAGTTAGGTTTGACTTAGAATCTTTGTAAAACACCCCCAGATGATGAATTTACTTACCTGAGCATCTACTTGACAGTTTGGTATTGCTAGTAATGCCTTCATGCAATCAATATGTCCTCCATGAGCTGCCCAGTAGAGGGGGGTGGCTCCGGCCTTGTCAAGGCTATTCACCGATACCTGAGCAAGAAAATATAAAGAAACATGGTTGATATAACTTCTTAACATTGAGCTTGAAGGAGGAAATAGGAATGTAGGTGAAAGGGGGGGGGGGGTGAGAAAAAAAGAAATAGATACTGGGTGATGGAGAGAGAGAAAAAAAGAGAAAGAAACATGCTTCGTATAACTTCGTAACATTACAAATGAAGGAAAATAGGAATATAGGTAAGAGACCGGGAATCGAGAGAGAAAGAAAGAAATAGATAATAAGAGACGGACAGAAAAAGAGAAAGAAACGTGGCTGATATAACTTCCTAACATTGAACTTGAAGGGAAAAGAGGAATATAGGTAAAGAGACCGGGGAAGCGAGAGAGAAAGAAAGAAATAGATAATTGAAGACAGAGAGAAAGAAAATGTGAAAGAAAAAAGAGAAAAAAAACATACTTGATATAACTTCCTAACATTGAACTTGAGGGAAAAAAGGAATACAGTTAAGAGAGGGGAAGAGAGGAAGAATGAAAGATAGACAGAACTGAAAAGAAAAAGGGGAAAAAAGACAAGGAGACAGACAAAGAGAGACAGACAGACAGACAAAGGGGTGAAAGAGAGAGAGACAGATAGAGACAGACAGACAGAGAAAGAGAGAGAGAGAGAGAGAGAGGAGTGAAAGTCTGATTCTAGAATATTAAGTGTCAAATTGTTGATGATATCTGTACTATACTCTACATTGTAAAGTAATTAAAGAGTAAACTTACATCCATTGTGAAGACTATTAAAAATAATCTTGTGTTCTGATCAATGTAATTGTAAACCAATGCAAACGTTCTGAAAGTCCTTCAAGTTCATTTTGTCATTTTGCTGTGTATCATGTTTTTTGTTTCGTTCGGTCATCAAATGTATTAATTGTAAGAGGCGAAAGTTGAAGAAGTAGCTGTTATCATTTCCATAGATGGTTCCTTAAACAAGTACGAAATTGATTGTTGTCTAGTAATCCAATATACATGTATTAAAAATGCTGAAGAAACATTAAAGACAGTATAAAATCATGCAGTTCTTGCTACACATACATAATGTACATGTAATTATAATAATAGTAGGAAAAGCGACTAGAACAGGCAGAAAGGGTACCAATTTCCATGCAACTGTAGTTCTCCTCCTTCTCCGCTTTTCCTCCTCCTCCTCCTCCTCCTCCCCCTCCCCCCTCCCCCTCCCCCCCCCCCCCCCCCCCCCCCCCCTCTCTCTCTCTCTCTCTCTCTCTCTCTTTCTTCTTCTTCTTCTTCTTCTTCTCCTCCTCCTCCTCCTCCTCCTCCTCCTCCTCCTCCTCTTCTTCTTCTTCTTCCTTTTTTTTTTTGGAGGGGGGGGGGGGTCTAAATTACCTCACAATCAGGTTGTCAAGAACAACCTTTGTTTAAAAGTATGCATCAAATTTGAATAAATATAAATTTATTTTGTTTTCAAACTGGTCTATCATTGCCTTACCTTATTTGCGATGCATTCTTGAAGGAAGGAAAGATTGCCACGTTTAGCTGCTTCGTGAAGGGGAAAATCAACAGACTCCGTGCTTTCTTCAACTACAGGTTCATAGCAGGGAAATAAATGGGAAACACACCAAAGTGAACAGAAACTTCGAACTCAAAGGCTGGATTTCACAAAGGAGATCTTTCTCAAAGTGTACAGCTCATCAGGCAAGCTCATCAGGTTCTACATGCTGAGTATAGGGTGGGGTTTCTATTTCTAATACTTGCCAAATTACTTGAAATATGATGGATTGGTTAGAGAGAGGGTTCATTCAGAAACAGACGCATGCCTTAGGCCTAAACCAAAAATGTTGTATTGCCCTTTAGGTGCCAAAACATGGGTCGGTCGGTTGGAAATCTTTTTGTTTTAACTAATTTTTCTTCTTCTTTTTTTCTCCCTCTTTGGGCTGATATGTCTGAGTTTTGAATGCTTTAATATTTTTTTCCTCTAAAAAATGTTTTTTTAAAATTTTTTTTTTTAAAGCCGACCGTAGATTTTTGGGTCGGTCGCAAAGAGCAATACAACATCTTTTTTGTTAGGCCTTATTTATATCACATCTGTTCCCGCAAGCATACATAAAACGGTAGCCAACCAATTCAAAATGTAGCATAATACTACAAGGGGGCAGTCTGGATGATCCAACAATTTAGTTTTATTTAAAACCAATTGATGTATTATTTGTTCTTTTCAAAAACAAATCTGGTTGGAAACAGCTGATATTGGTTGCCCAGGGGGGTGTTTCACTAAGATCCTAAGTTGAACTTATCTCTAAGTTGGACTTAAAAAATATGTAAAGCCATTAGCATCTTTGAAAATATTTTGTAAAAGTTATTTTGAAAGGCATTCATTGTTTATTGAAATCATTCATATTTTCTATCATCAAGGAGATTTCATGTTCTGGATGTGGAATTAATAAAAAGTCTAAAGTACTTGAATTTCTGCTTTTGAATATATTTCATTTAAAGACTCCAATGGCTGTCCATAATTTTTAAGTCCAACTTAGAGTTAAGTTCTACTTAGGATCTTTGTGAAACACCCCCCTGGTCATGCGATTGCATTGTGAAAGAAAAGGTGTGGAATGGATCAGAAAAGTTGATCATATAGCATGTAAGTAATGGTGTGTAATGCAAGGTTCTGGAGTCATCAAAATCATCATAAATTTGGCAGAGTCTTGGTAAAGTAACAATCACTTACACAGAAAGATGTATATGGGACAACACACATGGTGTCGGGGCAATTACTACCCTGATTTCCTTATCTTTCTATGCTCATTACTCAGCCAGTATACATTTTCTTCCAAAATTGTTTGGCACATGACATTTATTTGTAATCTTGAACATTCAGTGTAAGTTTTGTTAGATTCTGTGAGAACTCATTTTCTTTTTTTTACCAGTACTCAAGTTTATCTTTAACTCATACTGTAATACAGAGTGAACGTCCTTCTGGCCCGGAACAGACGATACATCTCTAAAAAGTTATTGAATTGTGCAGGTACATGTAAGAATGGGAAATTCCACAAAAATTATTGTGTTAGAATTAATACATGTACAGTATGTGTGAGTTATCCCATGGCACTATTGAAATATTGGAAAATTGAAATGTTAAGTTCTAAAGCCTAAAACAAGACCTCCATTTCTATCTCATGCACAGATCCTTTCCTGAATATTTGAAAAAGAACCCATAAGGGTTGTTTTAGGAGGTTAAAATCTAAGGTGAGGGATAGTTTTCTGAGAGATAATTATTCAACAAAGCTTAATTTCTGAATGGATATTCTTCAAGGCTGGATTAGCTGTGACAGTCATAAACTCCTGTGATTTGGGTCTTAAAAGCAGAATATTCTACTGAAACTACTGGTACTTCAGATTTATGTACAGTACTGTATACTGCCATCTGCTGCTCATAATGTAATGGTATGTCGTCAGCCATGTCCCACAATGCATCACCAACTACACGATGCACGTGTTATGATGCTTGGATACAGGAACTGGAAATTGCAATATGTATGCCTTCATCGAAAGATGGTGCAAATTTACAGTAGCAGTAGTGATGTTGGTAAAATATCCTGCATTTAAGCAATCACACTGGTTCTATTTTCCAGACATACATGATATTAAAGTGATAATGTTCGTGCCTACCATAGTTTCCAGGAATAAGACCCGATTTAGTTCCGCATCTCCCCTTCCACCAGCCATCATTTGTCTGCAAACAGAAAAGATAATCATGATTTTAATATCACTGACTGCACATTTTTATTTCAATGGGCATGTTGTACTATGATTGATTTAGCATCATAGTAGACATTGAATTTCTTAACATAACATAAAAGTAAATAACAAATGTTCTTGAAGAAATGAAATTGAAAAATGAATTGCAAATTACATTTCTTTAAATACTGAAATGGTCTCATCTAAGACAAGAAATTAATAATTTTCTGTGAAAATGTAAGGGACTGCAATATAGACACAAATATTCTTACTTCTTTATAAAATATATTCTTTTTCTGAAAAGCAAAATAATTTTTTAAGTTTGTCTTCTGGGGTTGGAATATCATTAATTATAAATTCAGTGAAATGACTATATATAAAACCCAAAGTTAAAATCAATATTTATGAAATGAAGAAAGTCAATTTCTTGGTGTTCCATCCACATACATGTATGTAGAATGTAATATTGAATGCATTTTAGAATTTAAACATTAATCTGAATTCTAATTGTTTGATTTTTTTTCTTCCAGCAATCAATTAAGCCCCAGTAAATTAATACAGCATTAAAAATCGTAATGCAAGGGAACACTTAAGATCATTTCGTTTTTTGAAACGCAATTCAAGGAAACATTGTCATAACTTTCCAAGGAAACAGATATTTGCTGATGTTATACTGAGAGAGTAAACAATGGAAAAGGAAATCATACATGCATTGTAAGCAACTGAAATAGTAATCGACCTAATTTATTAAGAAGACCCTGGACAGCATATCATGGACTATGAAACGGTACGGACTTGAGATGACATAGAGCAGAGGGGGATATGACACATGTATGGACGACAGTATAAACGACACAGAGGAAACGATCATAGTCTCATCAATCAGTCCTTTTGTCTGAAAAAAAATCCCATCACTGACAGTCAGCACCACACATAAGGACAGCAAGAGTGAAGACATTCATCTATGATCTATCTATCTACATCTGTTCAATAGCTTAGACTCTGTTGGGGCAACAATGAAATATCTTTCTCTTTTTGTCTTCTTCCAGATATTGCAATAAGACAGTGCGGAAGGAGTTAAGTAGTCTATTTGCAAGACATCCATTTTGAGAAAACCACTACCAATGTTTTGAAAGTATGATCAGGAAAGATCACTGTACAGTAAGGAGGAATTATTAAAACAATATGGCATCCTCCATTGTGGCACAAGCCATCCGATGCAGTTGCCAAGAAAACAATATGGCAATCTCCGTGGTGGCACAATTAGCCCTCTGATATGCAGTTGCCTCTGACTGAAACTTCCAAGATACGTTAAACTCCAGCAACCTAGTCACACTTTGTCTTTTTCAGACCTGTACAAAATGTAATTTTGTTTGGAATGGTTTACAACAGTACCCAAACTGTTTAAACCTCTGAAAACAGACATTTGCAAGATTTTTTCCCACTTTTTCGTCCAGTTAAAGGGGGGGGGGGGGAGTGGGGTCTTAATCAATTATTTCAATTTTTGACACAATTAAAACCATTATTTTTCTACTCTTAATACTTCAAATGATTTGGGTATATCTTCAAGCATTTCTGCTCTTTACTTGTAATTTGCAAATTATACTTTATATACACTGTATGAATAAGAAGAAGAAGAAGAAGAAAAAAAGATGAATGGAGAAAAAATATTGTATCACACAGTAACTCTATTAAAACTTTAAGAAGTATCAACAAATACTGGTGTTGTAATAACAATCTTTCTTGAAGTTCTTTGTATTTGGACCCAAACGTCCTGTTTCGATGGCACATTATCCAGTTTTTTGAAAAATTACGCCACTAGAAGGGTTTCTATTGCCTCTTGATATCTGCAATATCTATAAATAGTTATGGTATTATAAATTATGGTGCTACTGTGCAAGAATTTTTTCTTGAAAGTGAACATGGGTTCATGAATTCTGCATTTAGACATTACAGAATACTGGCATTTTGAATCCAGGTATATTCATTAAAGGCAAAAATAATCTAAAAATGTTCTCATTTATAAATGTGTCTTGGTGGCCTTGTAATAATTAATAAGTAGTACTCATATAGACTCTATCCAATGAAGATACAACTTTCTATCAACAGAGAGCTGAATGAACATACTCAACCTAGAATACAAATATGATGGAATAATAAATATTTTCCCTCTCAGAATTGCACAATAGCAAATTAAAACCTCATTTTCCACACCCCTCCAAATAAAGGGTCAACAGGGGTCAAATTTGCTGTTTTTACGGTGACGACAAAACATGTGGACTCAATCGCCTCGACTGTATAGCTGAGGCAATGGGCCAAGCTTAAATCATTCAAAGTCATTGTGAATATGCGTACTCCGCATAAGATGATGTCATCAAGTCGAGTCAAGTTTTTAGCCCAACAAATTCTGATTTACAAAGCTTTAGATTTTGAGTTTCAAAGAACCGTTACTCCTCTGACAGAAACTAAAATAGCACATAATTGATATCGTTGTAATCTATGGCTTATAAGCTTTACGTTAATCTATTTTATTTTGCAGTTCTGACACAATTCCATAAAGCCTTGAGTGACAGTGTCTGGTTGTTAGCAGCTAAAGTACAGGTCCTATGGTGTACAGGGGGCCATTTCTCGAAACCAACTCCATGACAGTCACATCTTTGTCGGTGACCTACGGAGATGTCATGAAGCGGATAAACCGTTTCACAAAGCCATGATAGACATGATATCGATATATTGCGATACTAGCAGCTCAAGAACATAGTCTTTGTCACGATCCATTTGATTTATCAAGCATACATGTAACCCAAAACAAGTTTTGGGGCTAAAATTGTTCAAAAAGAAATATATACATATAAATTCTCCTAAAATAAATAATGAATAATGTCATTATCAAATGTAGATCACCAAACGATTTGCATATCTGTAAAGGTTCTTAAATTGAAGAAAAACCGGGGAGTGTTTTTTTCGACAGTCGAATGAAAAGCTAGTTGAAGGATACCGTAATGTGATAGTTTATCAATACGTACTTTTTTGTTTATTGTGATGAGGAATTTTAGGCAAAATACCTTTTCTCAGCCAGTTTTTATTCTAGAGTCTCATAAATACTCATTATATAATTGATTTGATATTGAAAATGTAATTTGGAACAAGTAATTAGAGAGGGAATAATAATGCACATAGGCCCCAAAGGTATGACAGTATCCTAAGAAAAGACTATGGATCGACTATGGAAAACGGTTTGTAACATTCTTATCTCTCTTATTTATATGTTATAGTATAATGATTTGTGATTTAATGTTTATATTCAGCTTTTTAAAATGTCTGTATAATTTGTATTATCACTTTTTTACATTTGCATTTCGCATCCCAGAGAATTACGTACCAAACTCGTCTATATTTTTCTCAAAATGATAGTGAAACTAATCGTACATTTCGCGGCCCAAGGAATGGCAACAAACTGACTTGTGATGGCGCTTTACAGCAATTAAAAAGATATGACGGGTTCGGAGCAGTGACAACTCGCTTGTCGCGGAAGTTGTCGCTCATCTTGGCAAAGACGGCTTCGTGAAACACTTAGCTGACAAGTTGCGTGACAGTGGTGAGATGTCGTTGATCTTGTAGTTATGACGGTTTCGAGAAACGGCCCCCAGTATACCATACAGTCTACATACATGTGCATGTAGGCTCAGTTTAGACACTGTTAGGTTTTTTTAATGCTGCCCAGTTCACTAGTATGTCCCCCTTTTGCTTTGTAGTATACTACTTACCATTTCAGTCACATAAAGTAGGTCACCTTCTTCAAAGGTCAATTCATCACTCTGGAAATATATATGATAAAGACAAGAAAAAATGTGTAAATTTTAAAAAAGAAAATCAAGATACGTATATTGAAGGGCCTACATCCTGTACTAGAGCCTAAACAAGTTTTCAACATCATGAATCAACTAAATAAAACACATTTTATACTGGATTATGAAACATGGCAGTAGTCTATACTTTATTGTTCATAGTACACTTTCAAAAATTATGACCAAAAATTTGGGATTCTAATTCTAAAGGATTGCTATTTTTTCTTTTTCAGAGAGACAAATTAAAAATTTAACCAAACATGATTAAAAGCCTTTGTCCTGCGCAACTCATCAAAATTGTATTACTGGTATTGGGGTAATCTAGAAAATAGGCACTTCTAAGTTCTAATGATTAACAGAGATGTTGAAGATAAAAAGCTTTTGCAATGACAAAAAAAATCACTGGTCTAGATCTACATATAGATCTCTCTCATTTCTAAATCCTTCTTAATCTCTTCCATAAAGGCTATGAATGGATTGGTGTTCCTGTAAAACTTACATGCAGGGCTGTGTAGGCATAGAGCGATCTGAAAACCTTTACTTGACCTGAAACAGATAGAGAGAAAGAAGAAGAATGAAAAATTGAATGGTGAATTTGATTTCAAGCATTTCAAAACTAAATTTCATATTGACATTTTGCAACACAACACTTTTTAAAATATCAATAGGGTCTAGATCTAGCCTACACAATCTTATTCATTTATGCTAACAAATAAATGAATATCATTTCAGATGACAACAATCGGTTTTTTCCACAGCCCTAATTGATTGAGGTGACAATGCAAGGATGGAGTCAAGCTTCGCGGTTCGTCTTCAGATTGGGGGGGGGGGGGGGGGGGGTGCATATCTCAGCTCAGCTCAGCCTGGGCCAAGGCCGCGAAGCCAGAGTCAAGCCGGGAAGTTTTGGGGAGACACGTCGGTGGTGCATGGTGCGACGCTTCACATCGATATCGCAAACCGCGGAACATTATATAAACCTAGGGCTAGGTCTATACCTCGTAATAACTTATTTTACATTGTAAATTTACCTGGTTTCGGCTGAGGTCTTGGTGGTGCAGGTCTAGAAGGGGTCGACATCTTTATTATAGAGTGTAATTTTCCTATAAACACAAGGAATAAACCAAATTACGTTCAATTTCAGGATGTAAACAAACACGGAAGTGAAAAGTGAAGAAATTGACGTAAGGTATCTCTAACGGAAATAAGAAAAAGGAAATAATATTTAGAGGGGCGTGGGAGTCGTGCAGCTTTACGTGGGGGTTGGATTAGGGTAAAAGTATTCCCATGTCTCCGGGGGAACTCCTTTTATTTCATACTATCAAATTTGAAATTTTCTTGCTTCGATCTTTATGGTTTATTTCGATTTTAAAATTCTCATGCGAGAGCTCTTTGGGGGCAATCCAGAGCAAAAATCACTCTTTTTAGTTTCTTCCGCTGCTGGGTATTGAATTCCTCCAGATTAGGTTAGCTACTGAGCTTCGGCAAATTCTGAAATAGCCGCAGGGCACAAAACAAAAGTAAAACGCAGGCAAACAAGGAAACAAACAAAGCAAAATAAGAAAGGAGAACAATTTATTAATACAGGTTAAAGGGAGTGGATCGCCAGTTTCCATGTGCAGAAGGCCATAATTCGCTGACACCAGACTTGGTGGAAATACCATTAATGGGGGTACAAATTTGCACACAGCAAACCCATAGTCCAGTCAAGAATTACCCCTAATCTCTCGGAGAGCTCGAGAATCTTCGGGCAAATCAAAGCATTACATAAGGTCCGATGGTCATAAAACTCAAGGCTAACCCTGGTGATTGACAACACCTGTTATTGGGTAAACACCCGAACGGTGTCGAATTCCCCATGAGAGCTGACTACTCAGTGACTTTAAGGTGAAAGAATTAAAGAGAAAAACAGTAAAGAAAGAAAATCATAAAAAGAGAAAGAATTGTATAATAAAAAATAAAGAGAAAAAGGAAAGAAAGGGGAAGGGTAGGATGAAACATGGAAATATGAAAATTTGTTAGTTGCTCTGCTCCTCCTCTTTCTTAAAAACTCTTTGTTCATTTATTGCATCAATTAACTCCTCTATATGACCAGAACCACCTCCCCCTATGGCATGGCCCCATGCTACTTTCTTACTGAATAACAGGAGTGCAGTGATTTTACATCTGTTCTTATTGGGGCGGGGGGGGGGGAGTAAACTCAATAATTATTTGAATGTAATATTCCAATTATTCCCTTCACCATTTATCAACCATTGCCGTAGCCTGCTATTTTATGGGGAGGGGGGATCAAGGGAGCCTCCCATTATTACAAAGTCTGTAGCAATCTATTATTCGGGAGCACAATAATCTCCACCACCCTCTCTCTTCCTGGCTATACTCGTGTCTCTCTCTTTCTCTTTTTCGTGTTTTCCCCCTTGTCTCGTTTGTCAAAATTTGAGATTGTACCAATATTTCTTTGGTAAATCATGAGGTGATGAAAATAATGAGAAAATCCACTTTCTTTCAGGCGAGCTCTTTTCATCTACCATTAAATAGAACATCTTTTGCACAAAAGACATTTGATTTTACAGGTCAAAAACTGTGGAATTCTCTTTCAAATGATATTATACAGTGTAATTTGATACAAATTTTCAAAAGGAGACTTAAAAGCTTTCTTCTGAATAGTTACTAGGCTATTGCATTCCTCAATCAAATATAATTTGGACTTTATGCAACTTTGATTGTTTCTTTTTATAAACATGTATTTATCAATGTTTTGCGTTTAAAAGTGATTTTTTTTTTTTGTATTACTGAATCAGTTATTATTATTGTTGTCCTTTTCTCATAAAATAATAATTCACGATAATTACTTTTACAGGGGGGCTAACACCCTACAAGCTCTGCTTTTTAGTCGGCCCTCCTTCCCTTTCAATTTCATGTTTATTTTTTTAATGTATTGTAAAGTGCAAATTGATCTATATGTATATAAATATGTGAATATGTTAAAACGTACCATCATTGTAAATAAGAACGATTGAAAGAGGAAAAATGAATGAATTGAATTGAAATTCACATATTCCTCAATCACTTAACCACTGATGTACATACACATCCACATCATATCAAGACACCCTCTGCATAGAGAAGCCTGGGCTCATATTCAATAAAGCCGTACTAAGCTAGTTGTCAACTGTTAGGCTGCAATACACTTATAACTAGGGCTTTATGAATACTGGCCCTGGTTTCTGTAAGTTACATCAATCCATGCACAGTTTAATTTTAAAACAGTTCTTCATATTCAGTATAATTTTAGCTTACTTTTATATAAAATATAAAACATGTATGACTAAAAACGTTTAGATTTAAGAGATATACATGTAACATGTATCATTACAGTTGGTATATATTAAAGAGAAAAATAAGACAACAGGTCACAATGATCATTTAATATCAGATAGGTCTATGCAAGTCTTTAATGGGAAACAAGTCAAGAATACAGTGTAGAAATAAAGTTAAACATGACATGGACAGCAATTATGTATGAAATGTTTCCCCATATGTTTTTCTGCATATATGTATACAAACCTAATAACTTCATTCAGTCTTCAAGTATGACGAATTAAATTTGTACAAATAAATCATTCTGATTATGTCATACACATTATAATGCTTGTTTTTCGGATCCCTTTACAATTTACCTGTAGAAATATTTATTTTGTTAATACAAAAAAGGGGGGTTTCGCCAAACTAGAACCCAATCTACAGGTATGTCACCACTGACTTTAATCTGTCTGCAGCCTAGCTTTACTGAAGGGTAAACTAGAAATGAATGCTACATTTAGGACTCAACACTAAAAGGCGACTGCAACACAAAAGCTACATCCCAACACCCAAATTTCCAAATGTTAGAACAGAGATCACACATACAGACCTCCAAAACCTCAATCAGGACCCATCCCACTCCCTAAAATAGATTACGTGAAACCATGGCTACATGTATGTGGGCATATGGTAAACAGGTCACCAACTTTGCCTTGCATGGCCACTCTCCCATTCAACTTGTATGTTTTACATATCTTAATGCAGTCTCGATCAATATGACTAACTGTATTCATCAAAGTATAGCATAACTATCTACATAACCTCTATAACGACAAGGGAACAAACACAAGTACAGACCTAGCTTACTGAAAAATACATTTTATCCATCCATTGCAGTGTTCCTTTATTACAACAATAGTACTATAAATTGCTTTTTTTTCTACAATTACAAACAAAAATGTATGGAAATGTATCTACAAAATGAAAACCATGACAGTGAATTAACGAAGGATACCATACCAATAATCCATAAAATAATATCTGCACGCTGTATGCTCTGTTTAATGCAAAGTGACTTAGATGGTATTTCAAAGCTAAGTTCATCAATTGCAAAATTGGTTATGCTCTGTTTTAAGTGGGGATTTATAATTGATAACATTTTATAACAGACAACCAATGGAAAAGATTGTCTACTGAATTCTGCAACTAATTTGAGTCTCAGGGCAAGTTTAAGATTATGATCTTGCAATGTCAGGCATATCTCAAGCAATGCGTAGAGTATATGTTTAGAGTATAATTATATTGAGTACCCTCAGTGAAAGAAACACCATAGAATACATATATTTCTTTTCACAATGACTGAACAATGCATTCATTTTTCTTTCTATGATGCATGTACATGTAGCTTTGAAAGGAATATAATGAGAAAAAAAATAAGTCCTATTTAATGAGATATCTTAAAATAATATAGAAAGCAACGAGAGGACTCCCTCTCTGTTGACCTCTTACCAGGTTATATACAGAATACTTCATGACATTGATCTTTTGAAGAACATCTCATGACCTTGACATTCTATAAGTTAGAACTTGAATGCAGAAATGTACATTTATGCATAATTCATTGATCCTCCACCCACCAATAACATATAATATCAAACTTTATACAATACATTTTCATTTAATTTGTCTCTATCTGATAGGCCATTATCATATATATGTATGGATAGACATTTTTAGTAAATCAATCACAAGATATAGTATAATTCATAACTTTAATACATAACTTTTTTGCGACAAAAATACATCATATAAAACATTTGGCTGAACACAACTTCCAAGTGTTATACACAGACAACCAATTCATATAAAATCTATCAATTTTTCAATGCTTGGTGCCAACTTCATGTTCCCTATATTCACAACATTCCATGAATGTGTTTAAAGGGGGGTGGGGTTCATTATCAATCTGGGTCAAAACCAATACTCAAATACATTTCTGGTACTATACAAAATAGAAATTACCCATCAAGAGGTACAGAAAATGTAAGAGAGCACCCAACAGCATATTTTCCACCAGCATCTGATCTCTTCATCACAAAACTTGATTTTAAACAAGATTTTCCTTTGAATGTGAAAATTGAACCAGACAGGTCTGAAATATGCTGCCATTCAGAAAGAGTGTCCACAATTGCCACGTGAACGAATATAGTAGTTAGTGGTTTACAAAATATGACAGATTATTGGGTTGACATCACCCTCACAGGTCACAGTCCCTGAACATATAAATGGAATGGAATGGGAAAATAAATGTAGTCACAGCTGAAGTAATGAGTAGCTGACCACATTATAAAAAGAAAATTATAAATAAATAAAAATGAAAATAAACCTAATCAAAGGTGACAAAGATCTTTGTTGCACTTATTACAGAACATGTTTCCTCTTGACTGTCATTGAATCAGGAAGATCGTTAGGTTGTATCATTTCTTGCACTTAAAAAACGTAAACAAGCTCGTATTAAACTTTTCCTTTCACTTTGGTTCTCGCCCCCGTGATGTATGTGACAACTTCATAATGGTTTGCATTAAAGTGTTCCAAATGACGGCATAAAAGTAACGAGGCTCTGACATATAAACCAATTAATGTGGCCAATTGGAGTGAAAAGTGAAACATATTCGCAGCCAGAAAGAAGATACTTAAACATAGAGTGAACGCCCTTCTGCGTCTGAACAGACAATTTTGGAATATAGGCGATAGGAGATCTTGATATTTCCAAACCACCAAAATCAAGCCATTTCTTCACTAGGTCAACTCGACTGAAAAAATACAGTTTGCTTCACATTGGTCCAGTCTAATGTCTCCTCTATCGGCACACCGTTACATTAGAAATACCTTGTGAATCTCAGCAATGACCTTTGACACACACAAAGAATGACAATTACACAAGGAGCGAGTACGACGACAAAGCTGATAAGATAAATATATATAAAGACATACACTGTGTGTTCAAAGAACTTTTCATATGAACATTTTGAGCATGTTAATCTTAAACAAAGAAAATAAGAAAGAGTGAAATAAAACATGCCAAGCCCATTTCTCCCTGCTCGGTATGACTGTTATTGTTAATTATAGTTGTGATTGATGTATCATGTTTGATGAAAGGGCAAAAGTAGCTTCTTCATATAAAAAAAACCTCTGCTTGATACAGAATATCATTCTTCCATGATGTCACTGCAGGATTTAATCAGGATATACAAGTCTTTCCCTGTCAACTCCAACTTCTAACCTCTATACATGAAACTAAAAATTACTCCAGATTTAGTCAATTACACAGTCCTTTGATAGAAATGTCAATCTCTCCGCTATCAAGCGTCTCCTGCTCACATCCTATTGTTTCCTGCTGCTGCTCCTCCTCCGCCCGAGCTGAACATGGACGTCGTGGCGCCGCTCACAGCACTAGCCGCAGCTTGTCTCGTGGCGGTTTGCACACCGGGGTTGGTGACGACGCCCTTTGCAAACTCTTCCTGGGCCTTTGAAAAGCTGGCGCCGGTTCCTCGGTACAATGCATGAACCTGCAGGGTTCATTGAACAATGAAAGGGAGGATTAGTTCCATGTAACAAAAATGAAATGAGTGCTTATGTACATGTAGTAGAAATATATTTCCAGAGTGTAATAATGATCCCTTTAATTAGATTGTTCTATGAAATGTTCATGTCAAACGTATTAACTACAAATGTTTCAGGCTTATTGGCAACATAGCGGTTGTCTTCTACATTCATGTTGTTTATAGCAAATTCATGTACTCATTTTGCCTTCTCCCAATATGGCAATAAAAAACAGCTTAAAGGTACTATGTCCCATTTGCAGGCTAATAAAATGAAAAGGTTAGATTCCAACAACATTTGACTGATAATACTAATTTAGAACTTCCCCCAAAGGGATTGAAAATGTCTTTTTGTGGGAAAGTTAACAACCGTTTGTTGTCAAATCGAATTTAGCAATCGCGGTCTGTTAATTAAATAGTTTGATTTTCAGACCCTTGTACCAAATCAATCAGTTTAATTTTGGTCATTACAAGAAGTGGGTTATTGATTTGGAAAAATACTCGTGTACAGCTCATTTTATGTATGTTACTACCAAAGAAAAAAAGAAGTCAGTCAGTCACTTAATACTGTCTGACAGTGAAGTCTAGAAAGTAGACAGGTTTTCCTTGAATAAGTTAAATACTAGTACACTGCTAACATTTGAATTTCACAAATAGGAGTATAGGACATATTTCTAATTCCTGCAAAGTTCTACCGAATTTAATGTTGGCTGCAAAAGGGATACACTACCTTTAATAGACAACAAAGAGGAACAGATTCATATTTTGGTTTGAGTGCAAAAGAACAAATTCATAATCTTCATACAAAAATTTACCGTAATTAACGGTGTATTAACCGCACCTTTTTGCCGCTGAAAAAATTGGGGGTGCAGCTTATACACGGTACACAAAAAAAAAAAAAAAAAAAAAAAAAATTAAAAAAATTAGAGTTTCAATTTATGCCCCTCCACCTGGCGCTATGCCTGACAATGTCTCCCAGCTCAGTAATCGGTGTGTTGACTCACCACTTGGAAACTAGAACAACACTCAAATTTGTCTGTCATCTTGGATTGAAAGTAATCTTTCTGATAGATTTCAATATGTAGTTTATAATAATAATTCCTACAATTTTTCTTCTATTACACGGCGTACAACAAGGTTCTATCCTTTTTTAAATCGGCAAAAAAAAAAAGTTGGCAAAAAAAAAAGTCAGCAAATTTTTTTAATTTTTTTTTAATTTTTTTTTTTTTAGGACGACTGAAAGAGGGGTGCGGTTAATACACGAGGGCGGTTTATACAACGTTAATTACGGTAATAGATATTTGCAATATACATCTATCATACAGTGTGGTCCAAAAGGGTTTAAAAATAAGCTTGAGTTCTGGTAATGATAGAAAAAAAATTCTCACAAAATCCAACAAAATTGACACTGAATGTTCAAGATTACAAATAAATGACATGTGCAAAACGATTTCGGTATAAAATGTATAAGGGCCGAGTAATGAGCATAGAAAGATACGGAAATCAAGCTATTAAGGTAGGCCCGACGCCATGTGCTTAACACAGGTCACTATGTGCAAATGAGAGTTGTGGTTTTTATGAAAGATGATTTCCAGCAAGTTTGTGTGAGTTTATTTTTTACTTTACTGGTTCAAACAATCAATCTACTATGGGATAAACAATCCAGAATTAATTATAGCCGTGTTCTCTCGACATACGATTCCCATACCAGAGCTCAAGTTAAGCTTGAAAAGTGTAACAGTGACTGGTTTGAATTTTTATTGTACAGATTTGAAGATTATCTATCTATAAAATTTTAGTCATAATATCTATTTGGAAATGTTTCAAGATATAGCTCAGATTGCACAAGAGTGTGTCTCAGAACCTTACAGTCCTCAACCAAGCCCATGGAATCAGGAACAAGGGACTTCCTACTTTGCATATTTTTGCTTGTGGACCATCCTGTATCATATATGCAATACATATGTAATTTCACCACAACAGTTTGAACAAAAACATTTCAATGCTTTGACAATAGATAATGGCTTTGTATTGAATCTGAATTTACAAACTCTTTCATAATGATTTGTATACAAGCGTTTGACTGATTTGTGGAAGCTACAAACAGAGACCCTGCCTGATGAACTTCACAAAATCCTTCACATTGATTTGTACGAGAGCATCATGATTTGTGGATAGATGTATAGGCTTTGTATGAATGCACATATGAATAAGACAATTTCTGTTCTTTTCTGTATTTTACTCATGAGTGCAAGAGAAACAGCTTCAGTATGTCCGTCTTTTAAAGCCATTCTTCGACTTTTTGAACAAGTACGTGTTTGATTGACGTTAACCTTTTGCAAATAGATGACATCTAGGACAGCCATGGTGGTAAAAAGTGCTGCAATTATTAACATACATCCTGCGATGGCCTTTCCAGAGATATTGTCAGCTCTTCCCATTGCCTGCAAGCCATTAACCCAGCCACTAAATACGATTAATGAGAATGAGCAAAACACATATATATATATATGATAGTTTATTTTTTTAAAGCACATAGTTGCAAGAATCTTCGGTATTGAAGGAGGGAAATAATCTTGAAGAAGAAGAAGAAGAAGATATGGACTGTACAGTGTGAGTCAATAAAAAAAGAAACACATATTTCTTTCAAAAAGCACAAGAAGAGATACAAGACTAAACAAGACGATCTTTCAAATTCTGGGCCTCGTTGCATAAAACAATACCGTTGATGGTCATTTTACCACGAAAGGTAATTTCCATCAAAACCTTGATTGATTGGCTGTGGAGTGATGTTGCCATCATAGTATACAAATATACACTGCCTTGAGAGGTTCTGGTTAAAACTATGCGCAAGGGGTGACTCCAATGGTACTTTTGGAGTCACCGAGGCCCATAGTTTAACCAGTACCTCGAATAGAAGGCATGGTATATTTGTTTTATATCCTGCATCAAAAATTTATTTTAAAAAAAATATTAAAAAAAAAACATTTTTGAGAAAAAAAAATTTAGAACAAAAAAAAAAGATTTAAAATATTTTGTTTTCATTTAATTAAGATTTGAAGAAAAAAAATTGATTCAATTGAAGAAAAAAAAATTCACATTTTTTTTTCAACTCCCAAATAGTAAACCAAAATAGTACTCTCATATAGTACTTTCTAAATTAGGTCAAATATTTCTGGTCATGTAACGAGCTCTCAACCAATCAAAAGCCAACAAATTTTTGATACAGGATATAATAGTTTTATATTGACGGCAAAGTAACCATCAGTAGTAAGTTTTATGCAATGGGTCCCCGAACATGATTTCCATACACATCACAAGGCCAAATAACAAAAATAATGTGTTTCTTGTCTGGACTTTAAAAAAAAAGGACGAGGCAGGGCATTACTATTTACTATTTTGCAAATTTTGCAATTTTCTTCCAAGATGGCTGCCATTCTAATTTTAGCTGGCCGGGCCTATGTATTCACAGATATTGTGCTATGTGAGTATACTGATGAAATGTGTGACAAAACAAATGATTTGAATCACTTTAGAAGCTATTTAAACAAAATGTTTATCACAGGCTTCTTTTTTTTTTTGCTTTTTTTTTTCTGAATAGTAAATAATGAAATAGTGCAATTTTCTTCCAAGATGGCTGCCATTCTAATTTTAGCTGGCCGAGCCTATGTATTCACAGAAATTGTGCTATGTAAGTATACTGATGAAATGTGTGACAAAACAAATGATTTGAATCACTTTAGAAGCTATTTAAACAAAATGTATATCACAGGCTTTTTTTTTGGGGGGGGGGGGGGGGGGCTTTTTTTCTTCTGAATAGTAAATAGTAAATAAAAGGAGGCGGGTGAGGACGAGAAACACTTCATTTTTGTAGTTGACCTAATAGTGAAACTATGCTGATGCTGATGCTGATTCCTTGCAAGTCTTTGCAATCGTGTTCAAATAGACTGATATTGGCGGATGAAGACAGCAGATGACGATAACACATGAACATCACACACTGACTGATGATGAAGATGTGTCCACTGTAGTGAGTTTCTGGAGGTGGATGATGAATGGAGAGATATATATATATATATACCTTGAACAGGTAGAGGAGGTCTAAGACAGCCACAATGCCAAACATGATACCAATCATAAGCATAAGACCACCAACAACCATTCCTGAATTGCTGTCTCCTTTGCTACCAGCGCCTATCATTGATAGACCATTAATGATACCACTAAAGTAGAGAGAAAGATAACAAAATTTAAAGGGTGGAGGTTGTTAATGGGAAGAAAATTCAAGAAGTTTCTGTCACGCAGTTGGCTGAAAAGCAGATGAAAGCTTTCTTCAGGAGGAATGATACCACTGAAATAGAGAGAAAGATAAATTTTAGAAAGGGTGGGGGTTGTTAATGGGAAGAAAATTCAAGAAGTTTCTGTCACGCAGTTGGATGAAAAGCAGATGAAAGCTTTCTTCGGGAGGAGCGGTAAGAATCCCGCTGAGGTAAATAGATCAGATCTACGTTGAACCAAAGTTTCTGTGTACATATAAACTATGATATGAAATATTTCACTTCAAGATGACAACTGTTAACAGAGTGACACTAAATCTTGACGTCACAGAGCTGCCAACCTTTGGAAGTATAAATTAGTACTCAGCACCTCCAAAATTAGTATTTTACCATCAAAATTAGTATTTTACCATCAAAATTAGTATTTTTCAACCGGCCTTCCTTTCACCTATTATAACGCCGCGCAAATGCATACCGTAAAGACCATATTTTTACTGATACATTTGATGTGAAACATGCCAAATAACACAACAAAAATTAACCCAGAAGAAAGAAAGAGGATAAATACTGTTGCAAACTGTGGAATAAATCAGACATACCAACACCAGAGATGCCAACTTTTGAAAATCAGAAATAGGGAGGATTTGAAAACGACACCAAATAATATGCGCGTAGCGCACATCTCGTAGAATTCTCGTAGAAACTCGTAGAATTCGGTAGCAGCGAACATAGTTGAATTACTACATGCTAAAGTTAGCAGACGATATTTCTCATGAATTCGGACTTTTGGAAGGCATTTTCGTATTTTCGTATTCCCTTCGGATTTTCGTAACATATACGAATTTTTCGTAACGGCTGGCAGAAGAGGTGAGTTATTTTTGTATACAGAGAGAAAAAAGAAAACTTTAAAAAAGGCCCAATAAATATTCACAATTGTTCTCTTTATTTTTACTGCCAATTTTTGTTTACGGGTACAGTGGTGCACCGAGCCACCAGGCAAACAACATGTGTTTGGACCTATCTAGAGTGGCCAACTATTTAGCTTGGGCAGCCTTTCTAGACAGGTTTAACTACATGTGCCAAAAAGAAAGTGTGCAGCTAATTATCATTTTCTTTTTTTTTATAGTTCAAGCCAATGTTGAATGGATATAGGAAGTGGTAGCACAAATGCAGATTATGTGGTAAAATCAGTCAAGTAGTCTTATACCTTGATTAGATAGAAGAAATCAAGCGTGGCTAAGACACCGAAGATGACGCACATCATGATCATGATACCGCCAATAGCCATGTCGGACTTACTATTATGATCGGAGGCATGTCCAATAACTTTTAAACCATTGATCAAACCACTGATAAAGAGAAAGTTCAAACATCATATAAACAAACATGTTTAATAGATAAAAGTAACGAATAATATCAGATAAAATCAAGATGTCAGAGAAAATGGAGGAAAAATGTATTAACAGGATGCGAGAGAACTTTGTACTAGTGTCATAGAAGCTGTGTAGAAATCCTGAAGTGTCCCAACCTGAAAAAAGAACTGTTGTTACAAAAGTTATTATTAAACAGAAAAACAAGGAAAACAAGAAAAACAGAAAAAATATATAATAAATACGGGGTGCCCCCCCCCCCAATAAAAAAGACTGGCATACTCCCAATAGCATGGGGTCATATTCACTGGTTCCAGCGGAAGGAGAGTCTTTACACATGAAAACTATAACCAAGATTGACAAATTAGGTAGAGGGTTTTTTTGTTTTAGAAGGTTTTTGTGATGCAAGGTAGATGTTCAAATTTGTCCAGTATGACTAAAACTGTGTTTCGACCAATTCATATAATTTGATGTCTGTGTTTAACAAGTAATTAAAATTGCCTGAAAACAGAAACATGGGTGCGGAATGTTATGTTCGTGTTCAATCTGGCATTTCTTATAACTTGCCCAATGCTCAGACATATCATTTCTGGACTACACAACAATATATTGTTTCCTGCAAGGAGCACTGTCAGTGGACGTCTTCAAAATTGTTTGACGCAAATTCTACAACCAATTTAGGCATTTTTTTTTTTTCTAAAAATATTTCCCATCTACTGGTATTATCAATTTCATTGAAAGTATGATAGTCTGTTTGGGGGGGGGGGGAACCCTGTATATATGCACAGGAGTATATCCTCCTTTCATCAGATCATAATGAGATAAATATCACATCTTAAATATACTGAGAGGTTATTCTTGTTTCAACGCAGTACCATTCCAAAATACGGATTTTCAGATACATCAATTCAGCTGTAGATAGATTCATTTCAAGCAAAGTTGAGCTGATGGGTAATCGTTCAATGTTATCACTTCTGTAGAACAAGAAATAAAATTTAACTTTTATTAAAGTTTGCTTTTGTTTTTAATACATATTTCAGTTTCAAGGTCTTATTAGCTTAGTGTAAATTGAAACAAGATACAAATGATGTTTTTCTAAATTTCATGGCATTCCAAAGGTTCAAAAAGTTTAAAAGAAAACACATTTTGCCTCTTCTGGCTCTGTCTGGACAATATGAAGAACATTAATAGTTCAATATCGGTTTTTAAAAAGAAGAGAAAAAAAGAGTTATACTCACACTGTTCCAAACTGATCAATGCCTATTGCTTGCACAACAGTAACCATAAATTGGAAGAAAAAAATGAAGAAAAACAGAAAGAAGTTGAAGGAGCTGTCACTCCTGTAACGACGAAAAGAGAAATGGATAAAAGAAGCTTAGTTAAAGGGAGGATATATACAAATAATATATAAATATCAAATAATTTTACAAGCTGAACAAAAGATCAGGACAGATTAAAATCTACATGTAAATCCCCTTTGCTTCTCACTATTTAAATAAAGGCATATAAATCAACTCTATAAAAATAACATCAGTTACAGTAATCATTCAAAAACTTCATCATTTTTCTTTTCATCATTTTTTGGAACTCTATTAACCTCCAATTTCACATCAATTTTACCTGTATGTCAATAAGTCATCTCAATTTTTCTTATTTCATTTTCCTTTACAGATCTCTTGGAGCTTTTTTTTTTCTTATTTTTTATATTTGTATATTTTTTATCATTTTAATTACAGGTACATGTACGTTTAAAAAAAATGTTAACAAAAATTATGCAATAAGATATTTTGTCCATGTAGACAGATTTCGTTTTGCATACAAGTAGGACGTTCATTTTCTTTGTATCAATCAAAAGGGTATATCTTCCTTATCAAATAATAATAACAGTTATGAAATTATACTGGTTCATTCAAATCGTAGTGATAATGAAGTTGATATATAGATGCTGCCTCATGGTCCATGAACAAACCTCTAATAATACCTTAAAAGCCATGAATGTGATTTTCTTAATTTTTCATATTACAAATAATGAAATGATACGTAATTTCATGACAGATCATACATGTGGATTTAGATGTAGATGTATAATGTTCATGTACACGCACAGTGCATATAACTATTTAATCACATCACAAGCAATTAAATTACACTGAAATAAATTAATGATTTTTTTTTCTACCAGGTATTCAATTCATTTTAGGCCTCCTATGCAATGGGTAAGGATGCTTAAAAGTACAGAGTACCACTGGGACTGAAAGATTACAATATAGAGATTTCTGAGTTTCAACTTTGTTTAGAGAACATTAAGATAATAATGACCAGGGGCCTATATTATAAAGAGCTGGATTGATCCAAACCTTCAACCATATGCCTAATGCACTTTTTACGCTCCTCCTGCGATCCGATTTTTGAAGAAATTGATACAGAAATCTAAACAAACTTAGTATTCATGATTTGAATGGTACCATTTACAACCAGAATTTTTGTGCATTTAAGCTTTCTATTCAGAATAAAGACCCAAAGCCGCTACTAATCGAAGACAATCGCACTCCTGGTCTGACGCAACTAGGATTCTGAGCTAATTTAGCTCTTCCTCCTCCAATAAAGCTTGAAATCAATCGAAATTTAGAATTTATTCGTGAGGTGACCATTGAGATCCTCGATAAGTAAGATTTTTACAAGTTTGAAGTTCACGTCAGGTGCTATTGCAAATTTGTCAAAAATCGGATCACAGTCTGATAGTGTAGTGCTCCCAGGTTTTGGTCCCACTCTTCCAAGTCAATGCACACTTCAGCAAATGGAGGATTATGATTGGTTCAGATAGAATCACCTCTTTACAAGAAAGGTCCTTGGTGAAGGACAAGATTAAAGCAAGATGAAGGTTTGGGTGCTCCTCCTTGTATATTATAACAAATAAAAAATAAACTTGACAAGATCCTGTGTCTTGTAACCTACACATATTTTCTCAGTAGACATCAATCTAATCAAAATCAATCTAACAAAATTTTCCTTTTTACAGCATTTTCAAGCTTCTGTACCCCAAAATTTCAAAATTGATAGGTATGAAGTAATCAACTACATTTTTCACTTTACAAAGCTTTAAAAAAATCAATGACAAATGGTGATGGGTTTGAAGTTTGATAATGCATTTGAATTGTGAAGGTGTAACGTTAATGAACAATACCTGAAAGCTTTGTATAATGGCCGGAACCAACAGACGAAGGAAAATGGAGTATGTAGGACCATAAAGAGGATGGCCAATCCAAAACAGAGCCCCGCTCCTGATCCCCCAATACCGGCAAAGTAGGCGAGGCTCATCCACAGGTTGATGAACAGTACTAGCCAATAGGCTGGAGGAGGTGAAGAATATGGGATGGAGATGGGGGCGGGGATGGATGAGAGAGAGATGGGAGAGATGGGAGTGAGAAAGAGAGAGAGAGAGAGAGAGAGAGAGAGATGGGAGGGGAGAGAGAGAGGAAGAGATGGGAGGAGAGAAAGAGATGGGAGGAGAGAGAGAAAGAGATGGAAGGATAGAAAGAGATGGGAGGAGAGAGAGAGAGAAAGAGATGGGAGGAGAGAGAGAGAGAGAAAGAGATGGGAGGAAAGAGAGAGAAAAAGATGGGAGGAGAGAGAAAGAGATGGGAGGAGAGAGAGAGAAAGAGATGGGAGGAGAGAGAGAAAGAGATGGGAGAGAGTGAGAAAGAGATGGGAGGAGAGAGAGAGATGGGAGGAGAGAGAGAGAAAGAGATGGGGGAGAGAGAGAAAGAGATGGGAGGAGAGAGAGAGAGATGGGAGGAGTGAGAGAGGAGAAATGGAGAAAAGAGAGTATTGATGATAATGACTGAATATTCGCACATAAAAATTGAGGCAATGATTTTTAAATCAACATTTCATGGGTATTGGTTGATGTTTTAATGTCATGCAGACATGAGCTATTTTGATTTCCAATGACATGACGAAAGGTGACAGTACCTGTAAAATGAAAATAGGACCACAGAAATGATCTCCATACAAAACAAAAACAAGCTAAACCCCACAGATGCTTGACGTTGAATACAGAATGTTGAGATTGAAACGATGGTTTTGTCCTGCATGTGTGGTCAGCGGATGGGTGGGATGTGTTTGTGAGAATGCCTGTTGCAGCATCACCTTACCTAAACGCTTTGTACATTGGTCTATACCAGCAGGCGAATGAACAAGGGGTTGATATGAAGAGTGCTACCAGACTTAGACCAAAGCACACTCCCGCACTTGAACCCCCTGCGACGCCCAGGTAAACCACAGCAAAGATACTGTTCAGTAGCAAAACCAGTGTATACGCTGGGAGAGAGAAGTATATGGCACATGCTTCATTGAGAAAGGGTTTTAATAGTACAGTCAAACCTGCTTTAGTGACCACCTGTCTACAAAGACCACATTTTTTGTTTCCCTTGAGAATAGTTTCTCATTGAAACATGTACTAAAGGTACCTGTCTACAAAGACCATTGTCTACAAAGAACACTTGTTGCGTTTCCCTTAGGTAGTCGCTATAGACAGGTTTGACTGTATATACAAAAATGTTGGCCTGTTGTGAAGACAACACATATTACTTGATTATCAAAGCTAATTTTCCAATAACAACAAACGACAATATCGCGAACAGTAACTTATAACACGAAATGTTTGTCGAAAAGTAAAAGAGAATTATCAATAATCTTTTTATCATAATCATCACTATTAAAAAAGATCATCTCGTCTGAATTGTGCTTTAGATGTTACCATGTTATCAATCACATCTTGAAACACAATCCATGGCCATTTTCCTACAATGATCCATTAATTTCTATATATTCCTGACTTCTTTTTGTATCATTTTCCTCTTGGATTTTGGTAGTTTCAGCAATAATCTGCTCAGCTTTGATTTTCTGGTACACATAGATGTCGTAGTTGCCAGTTAAGCAGAGCCCTGCAACTATTTACAATAAATTGTTGTTCATAGTATTTTGTTCTGCACATGTCATACCCCACTTCAAATCTTCCTGACAAAATCATAAAGACCAAGTACATTTGTACATACTGAATACTGGTATACTTTGAAAGAGACTTTCACGGTTTTTTTTAAACAGTGAGTTAGGCACAAAGCAGTTATGTTCTCTTTTTAAGTGCAAGAATCGATAAACATGTATATAAATGTCAGCAATAACCTGTTACTACGTCAAATCAAATAAATGTACAGGGTGCTATTTAATGCTACCTAATCTATTCCTGCATTTCGTTTTAGCATAACTTTAATTTTCCTAATAGAAAAACAATCAGCAAACAGAGCATGAAATTGGACGTAGATCACTAATCAGAGCTGAAAATAGGTATCGAGTATTACACAAGTAAGAATGAGTACATGTAGGCTATCCCAAAAGTAGTGCTAGAAATAATCCTGGTATTTCATTCCACAACATCTCTGAGTCAAAGATTTACTCTTTTTTTTTAATTCTTCAATCTTCATGCGTATTGGTAAATTAAATGCTATCTAACCCAGTAATACCCCAGTCATATTTCCCCATGGCTCTTAAACATTGACATCTAATGGATAAAGCTAATAAGTGGAGTATTTAATATCCAATTTTTGTAGATACCTTCTAGAAAATGAATAAGCCAGTTCGTAAATAGCTCCTCCACAATATCCACATATCTTTTACACGATGGATACGTCCCACTTGGGCATTTTAGAATAATTACTGTCGAGTGATGGAGGACCTTCATGAATAGCTTTTGTTTGCCTCTTGAGAAGAATACTTTCACCTGTGTATCAGATATATGTAGTGTCGGTGCATAAATGAATACTGATTACATAACTCTCATGAGCTTGAACGAATATTCGTCTCAATGGTTATTACAGTAATTATATTAATTACGAACTCAGTTATTGTACACAGCCAATTACAACTCTGAACTCCTCTACACACCTAAGCCTTGGGGAACAAAGATCTTTTAAAGTTCATATAGCACCCTGAACATCATTTAATAATATTTCATGATAAAATGAAGTACTAATGCTCACCAATCCAGAGATAGTAGCCTAGTTTGACTACCTTCTGGAACTCCAAGGGAATGTCAACAGCAAAGTCTTGAAAGAAGCAAGGCTGGAGTGGAAACCATTTGGGAAGCGGTGGCCAGTTGTTCTCTCGTGCTAAGACAAAAGTAAAGGCATGATTCATTAATAATAATGTTCCGCTTTTACATCCAACGATGTCTCCAAGCCTTTTACATATATTGTTACCCCAGTCATCGGATTCAGGCTTGCCCGCACACGATGTATGCACATTCTCCACTCCCTGGGGAGCATTCCAGCCAGGCTTCATGTTACAGATGCTCACAATGCGGAGAAAACTACACTAACTTTTGCGTCCTACCGAGTACCCATTTAATACCTGGGTGGAGAGGGGCAAATGTAGATTAACGTCTTGTCAAAGGACATTAGTGTCGGGCTAGGATTTGAACCGCAGTCGGGTGACTTATCCACTAGACCACAACACCTCTACATAATAACTAGTGTGATAACAAAACATTTATTTCTGTATCACAGTGTCAGTGTACAATTCTCCTAGTCAACATTATGCATCACAGCCTTTAATAAAATGCAGCTCACATTGGCATTGATCATACTAAATATGATATTAAAGGTTCACATCTTTGTGAAACAAGTTAAATATGACTTTTTTGGAGGGGAGGGGGTGGGTAGGAGTCGCATTAAATTTTATAGACATGTTGAATGGTTTTTACTGAACAGTCGGGATTCGCCGGCGTATTTTAAATATTCATTAATGAAAAATCAAAATTATTATCAAATCATCCTTCTCCTCGACTCTTAATAACTGACAATGAACGATGCAGAATAGAAACATTTAATCTTCCAACAGTTTGAAGTTTGATTTTTCTTGTTCTAATAAGGAAATTACTATGATGAATTCATTGTTGATGAGTACAATACAATATTAATTCTTACTGTTGTATTGTGCACTTCTCATTTGTTGTTCTCTTCTTGTGAGCTCAGCGGCCTTCCTTTCTAGCTCTTCCTGTCTCCTCTGCAACTCTGCTGCACCTTCAGTTACAGCCTACATGTACATGCAGATTAAAGGGCAAAAAAGGATTATTCATCGGAAAGAAATCCAATCTAGATTGTAAAGTCACTCTGATAAGAAAGCACAAAATGGTGACAGCTAGGAAGGACATCAGGTTAACAGCATAAAAGTTAAGAATATTTTAAATTTGAGATCACTAATACAAATTGGAAGTACAAATTGGCTAATTGGTAATATCACTGTGATGTATTGTTTTTGGAAAACTCTGCCTGTTGCTCTTTAACTAAATAACTAAAATTTCCTTTTTTTTCGAATTTCTGAGTTGAGTAGGATCTTGTTTTTTCTACTGAAGGGCAAATGACATGCCACCAACAATTCATCTCGAGTACAGCTCAAGTGGAAATGATACTCATAACAGAAATGAAAATTAATGTTTCAGGCAAAAGCCTGATTGGCCTATTTGAGACAGGTTATCTCAGCTTTCAAGCAATCACATCTTCCTTCTAATTTTTTCCCCATGTCTTTATCACTATCCGTCATAGCTATCATCAACATCATCATCACCATCACCATCTCCATCACCACCATCATCCTCATCATCCTCATCCTCGACATCGTCATCGTCATCATCATCATCCTTATCATCATCATCACTATTATATCCTTCTCTTGCTCTTCCTCACTAGTTAGGCAGCTGACTGTGCATACCATGGAGGTAACTCTGATGTTTGTGCCATCACAAGGATATCATCACCACTATCAATTTCATCGCCATCGTCATCATCATCGTCGTTGTCGTCGTCGTTGTCATCATTATCATCATCATCATCATCAATATTATTATCATCATCATCATCATCAATATTATTATTATCATCATCATCATCATCAATATCATCATCATCATCATCATCCCCACTGTCATCATCATCATCGTTGTTGGTGTCATTGTCAAATTATCATCATACTCACTGGTTGAGCAGCTGACTGTGTATAGGCCGGCGGTAACTCCGACGTAGGTGCCATCACGGCGGGCTGTTGCTGAGGCTTGACTGGTAAAGGAGCTGCTACTGGAGTTGTTTTTGAACCAGGAGTTTGCTAAAGAAATGAAATAAACTAATATGTTTAAAATACAGATTTAATCATCTCATTTACATACAGAAATACGTATGGTACAGTAGGTACATTCCAATGAAACGATTCACGAGTTAAATATTTATGTAAACAAGTAGCAAGGTCAGTGTGGACAATACAATGCGCACATTCTAATCAAATGATTACAGAGTAGAGTAGCAAGATCATTAAGTTAAAGGGCATGGAATGTGTAGTAGGAATATGCACACACAATGTTGAGCACATACATGTATTACAGAAGCAAGTTCTACATCAACATACCAGTAATACTTTCAATTTTCAAAACATAATTATATGAAGCATTTCTCACTGTATCATGACATGTACATGTATGACATGTACATTTCTTTTTACACTCAAAGAATTAATCAAGTTTTCTATTGAAATTAAACACTCCTTGGAAAAAGGTAAAGAACACATGTAAATGTAAATCATGTACACCAAAGAAAGCATGACTTATCTACTGGTAGATACAAACTTGTACTAAGACTAAGAAGAAGAAGGGGACATTCATGCATCATACATTATAAAATGGATAAGGGGGGAACATGTAATAGAAAGTTAGACACCTGTTTATTTGTGTCTTCGAAAGGGTTGAATTCCTCCAGTCCACCTCGGGTGTTTGCCGTTGCCTCGGTAACGGATGGATCCTGAAGGAGGGGGTTAAGAAACAAAGAAATCACAAAGGATGACTAAGGGTTACTAAAAACAATATTATGACTACACTTTATAAGAGCCACTGTCTACTGTACATGTTACAAACTACCAAAAAGGCAAAAACACAGACATACCGTAGTACATTGAACATACGTACACATGTACAAGGCATAAGCTTCACAAATATTTTGCAACAGATTACATTTTGTTCACTTCTATTGAAATAATTATCATTTGAATACAATTTTAAGCTCTAACCACATTGTAGCCCCCCCCCCCATACTACATTCATTCATCATTCATGGTACTCTTTAATTCATATCATTACCATACTCATTCTACATATACATGTACAATCTAAGCAAGCATTCAGTGTAATAATAATAAAATGGATTCATATAGCACTAAATACGGAATTACTGTCTTTAAGCGCTTTGCAAATATTATTACCCCAGTACTCGGATTTATTCATGCACAATGTGCACCATCTCCACTCCCTGGGGTGTATTCCTACCATATGGTCAGTGTGAGGGCATAGGCAATAACTAACACAAATGCTTTTGTCATCCTACCCGGTCCCCATTTCTCTCTTTGGTATTGAGTGGCAAATGTAGATTGATGCCTTGCCAAAGGACATTAGTGCTGTGTCAGGGATCGAACCACAACCTTTGAATTACAAGTCAAGTACTTAAACTAATCGACTACAACACTTCTTCTCATCTGTACCGGGTATATTTCTATATTTACAGATCCAGAACCCACTGCTGAGCAAATAACCAATTCATGTTTGGATAATTGGATTTAAGTCACTTTTTGTTACTTCCTGTACCTCTCCACATTCGATGGATGATAGGGTGTCAGCTACAAACATTTGTGGATAGATTTCACACTCAAGTGCTAAACTATCTCACTTGACAGCGATTCCACAGACACTTCGTTCCCCCTGAAGCTTGAATACATTTTACTATGGAAATGTCCTATGGTGAGAAGTACATGTCATGTGACTAACTTGAATGGAATTTTGCTTTCAAACTATAATGTGAAAAACTAAAGAATAATAAACATGTTACTATACAGTACATGTACATGTATGAGCCTGTCCAATTTGAGATTTCAAAAAGCTAAAATATGCTATGAACTGTATGCCTCTGATAGTGTTTAATTAGAAACATGTGTAGTACACAGCGCTCAAAATACACGGGGGCGGTGGGCGATTCGCCCCCGTGAGCTCCATAATCGCCCCCGTCAGGTTGCTCACGGGGGCGATTGCAAAATTAAAAATCGCCCCCGTGGAATTATAAAATTAAGATTATCTTTTCTGATATAACTTTAACACAATATTGAGTATTAATTTTCAAACCTTAAACCAATGAAATAGAACTTAGATGGCGCTTTCTCTACCATCTCTACGAGTATTCCCGATACAAACAACGGAAGCTCGCGGTGCGGCCGTCAGCACAGTGGCTATACTGCGCTGGTAGTACCGGTGTGCACGCTGACGCCCAATATCTGCTGGAGCTGGTGATCGACAATCGCGCAAGGACTGAAACATGGAGAAGTTTTTCGTTGTGAAAGTTTGAATCCTCTGAAATCTGGTGATTCTTAAAGACCAGCAAATAATGTAACCCGACCAGTAAATCAATATTGAGAAGAGGAAGAAGGCATAAGATGTTGCAGGGGCGGATCTAGGCGGTTTAGGGGGTTTGACCCCCCCCCCCCCTTACGCTGCCAAGGAAAAATGTGATGTGCACAGAAAAATGCTATCATGTGTCCAGACCTACACAGTATTAGTAGATGTCAGTAGATGCCAGGAAAACATCACTAACGGGGGTTCAAAAAAGCACCAAAAAATCGCCTCGCCGCTTCGCGGCTCGTGGACGATGATCCGCATGTTAGTAGATGCCAGGAAAACACCACTTACGGGGGTTCAAAATAGCAACAACAAAAATCGCCTCGCCGCTACGCGGCTCGTGGACGATGCTCCACATCGTATTTGGGGTACCCCCCCACCCTTAGCAAAAAGCTTGATCCGCCCCTCTGTTTTGGAAGGATATGGTAAAGACTAAAAGTAAAGAAAGAATGTAAATAAGGTTGCTCCGAATAATGAGGAGGAAATTATGTGCAGAACGGGAAGAAATGGAGAAAATGTCCTCACGGGGATAAAAGTCAATAACAGCTATGTAACAAGTAAATTTCTAAGAGGAAAAATACCGACTTAGATAAATGATAATGATAAAATACCAAGGAGTTTCACGGGTACCAATTCAATGGAAATTTGTATTAAAATAAGAGCCCCCGTCAGCACTAAAAGCGCCCCCGTGAGAAGGCTCACGGGGGCTCTTTTTTTTTTGGAAGAGCCCCCGTGGGCAAAAAATTAATTTGAGCCCTGGTAGTACATGTACATGTACACATACCGTAACATTTTATTAAAGGGCAATTCTACCCTTGTAATAAATTTATTCATATGAAAGCAGAAAAATAAGATACGCAGTCTGAAATAAATCTGACCAATAATAAGAAAGTTATGGAGTTTAAAATAATCTCAAGCTGGCAGTTTGGTCAGTGGATTGTGACACAGTCCTGGATAACTCTCCTACAATGTATTTGTTGTGTACAAAAAAATAATTAATTTCTGTTTTTCTCCCAAGTGCCTTCTCCCTTGGGGCACAACTCAAAATATGTTATGAGGGGCAGTTACACTGTCATCCAAACACGCCAAAAAATGCCAAACCGGAGCCTGGCCGCGATGTTACCAAGGGCAACTACGCTTTACCGGCAGACATGCCAAGCCCCAAACATTCCAAAACGAAGTGTGATCTTTTGGCGTGTTTTGGCGTGTTTTGGCGTGTTTGGCAAGTATAACCGCTCGCAGTTGTAACATCGCGATGTTAGGCACGTGACTTCCGGCACTTCCGGATTGTTACCCGCGCTCTTTTAAACCACGTTCTTCCCGTGTGATATTTATAGCATTTCCATCGTCGCGCGTGTTATCCGTTCATTCAGCTCCGTTTGTTCCAATTCCGTTAACTCATCCTTTATTCAATCTTCGTTATTCCCGTCTGGCCATATCTGTCTAGTAGTAGTATTTGAGTGTTTTGTTAGATTAATTAATATGGAAGTGAACAATTCCCATTGGACTGATGATGAGATGAAGTTCTTGATTTCGATGTGGAGACAGGGAGAGCTCAGTCCTCCACCAGACTTCCAAGCGTCCCTGCAAACGTGGGGAAAAGGGCTTCAGAGAAATGAGTGAAAGCATGAAATTAACAATTAACAACGATGATTTTCTTAACCTTCCCATATCGTTTTTACTACTAGATTTCGATTGAATTTGGGAAAACTGAATCAGCAGCCGTAGTCCGTACTTCGTAACTTATCCACTCTTGCCTCAAATACTACACGCGAGATAAACAAAACATATCGCATGCATGCGCATGGGATGTATCGCTATTTAGCTAGCTATAGCGCTAGCTGGAAATTGCGCGCGCTAAAAATCTTATAGCAGGCCGGGGTCAAAGGTCGGGAAGACTGCACATGCGCATTACCAACCGAAACACGCCATTTTCTTTTTTTTCTTTCTTATGCCTGTTACATGTACTCTTTTCTAAGCGCCATGAGCACCGAAAGGTGGACCTGTGCGCTATACAAGTAGCCACTATTATTATTATTATTATTAAAACATCGCTGAACAGCTCCGTCGGTGATGTTTCAGCACAAGTGTAACCGGGTGCACGAAACATCGCGACTTTTCAAAATGAGGTATTTGACAGTATAAATGCGCCTATGGACAGCATATTATTAAAGGTCCTTTAAAGAGAATAGCCCCTCCCAAGTCGCACATTTTTAGAAATAATATTTTGTAAAGTCATTTTGTGGGTTATATTAAAGTTGACTGCCACTACATCACAGAGACGTCTCATTTGTGATTCGGCCAAATTGAAAAGCCCATACCTACTGTGAGTACAACTTGATTAAAAAATAACAACTTTCTCATTTTTTGTCTGATTTCATTCAAATTTCCATCACTCTACCACATGGATTGTTCTGCTTTCCTCTAGAGTAGGTCAGATTTCCCTTAAATGAGATATGGGATGAGTAGGCCTCCATCTACCTTCTCCATACTGCTATGTATCCCTGCTAAAAAAAAATCCCACTACCCCCCCCCCCCCCCCCCCCCTCCACCCCACAAATCTCCACACCCCCATTTAGAGTGTATTGTTCATACATTTTTTGCTAAATTCTGACTGTTTTTGGCATTATTGTTAATGTCACTAAATCTGATAATGAAGCTGTGCAGGAAGCTTGTGGTACTTCATTAATTCCTATCTTGGGAAGCAGGCACTCCGAAATGTCAGAATTAGCATTCCCAATCCTCTATGATGGTGGACGGATTTCAGTAGCAGACAGAGAGCTTTGGTGTACAGCATCGATGCATACCGACTGAGGCTCACTGAGCATTGTTTATTTTTAACCCAAAGAAGTACAGTGTCTCCTTTTACACATATTTTTGTATCATCTTTTAATTCAGAATGCAGCACATTGTGTCCTTCACGAATAAGAGCTACATGTAATTCAACTGTAACAAATCATTAAGGTCTTTAAGTTGGCAATGCGGTGTACATTGTGCCCTTCACGAATAAGAGCTACATGTAATTCAACTGTAACAAATCATTAAGGTCTTTAAGTTGGCAATGCGGTGTACATTGTGCCCTTCACGAATAAGAGCTACATGTAAATCAACTGTAACAAATCATTAAGGTCTTTAAGTTGGCAATGTGGTGTGCATTGTGCCCTTCACGAATAAGAACTATTTTAACTAACAAATCATTAAAGTCTTTAAGTTGGCAATGCGGTGTACATATAAAATCACTATTTTTGCGCACAAATTGGCAATTTTTCAGTGGAATTTGCAGTTTTCTTTCTTCCAAACTGTGATGGAGTGGAAAATAAGATATCTTGTAACCAATTTGAGGAGGGAATACTGATTGATTTAGAACAAAAGAAATCTCTGAACTGATATGGACTAAACCAACATCATCTGTTTACAGTCAAAAGGGACATTATCTTATATATTTTTTCCATGTAATTGCTTGTTCCTCTTCTGGTTCTCTACAGCCAATATTTGCATTGCTTATCAATCTGTTTTACATGTACATGTATCTATTTTGTTTGTACTTGTAATAATTAATAATAATATTCCGCTTTAAATGTAGCTGATGAGAGTCATACTGCTTTCATACTGGCTTCTATCAGAGTCACACTGATGAAAATACAGATTAAATTTTCCTTATGTAAACAAAGGTGAAACCGCCGTCTTCCCTGCTGTCGCTTTCATACTGCAGGTGAAATTCACTCGCTGTGGCGAGCCCTTGCCGGAAGTGAAGAATTATTACGTAATTATTAAACCCACGCCCCATCTAGCTGGCATGCAGCACGTTCAACAAAGAGTCAACAAACACAGCTGGTTACAATAAAGCGCGCGTACACTGCGACATTAGGCCATTTTAATCAGTGTTTTAATCGCTGTTTTCTCCCGAAGGCATTCACAGTGGCTGTTTCATCGGTGTGACACCGATAGAATGAGAATTTCTCCTGCTCTTGAGCAGGAGAATTTAATCGCCTATTTCTCTTCTTTTCATCGGCTATTTAATCAGCTTTTTCTCTTCTGTAGCATTCATAGAGGCCGTTTCATCAGATGCGTCCGGATGCATCCGATGAAAATCAGGCCAGTTTGAAAGGGGTATCAGAAATACATTCTAGCATAGAGTTACATGTAACAACCGTTCTGGATCTCAAATCTCAACAGATTTTTTTTTAATGTATTAAAAAATGGTCTGTACTTGAATATGTAGGCAAACATTTAAACATCAAAACCATCATCTCATTTCAATCTACATTACAGTAATTATTTTTTGGGGTGCTGATTTGTTAAGAGATATATTTTAATTTCATTGTATCCCCTCAACTGGGGTTGGTCAGAACAACTAGACAAAAGCTGCATTTACACTGCAAGCAAAAATCATTGATTTTTTCTCACATTCCTATATTTTGTCGAAAGTTGTTAGTCATTGCTCTCAAAACATTGGTGAATGATTCCTGTTTTTTGGTCATGTGACTTTCCTTGCTTCCGTGCGAGTGCATGTACATGTAGAGCAGCGACAAGTCGTGCATGCGCACTATCTACCCCCCAAAACAGAGTGAACAAACACCAACATTTTTTATGGGTATTTTCCAGTAGTGTAAATGGCAGTCCCCAAGAATGATGCTTTTGGGGCAGTGTAAATGGTTCTATAGCGTCCTGCATAAAAGATGATGACATCCAAAGCCTACTGTTCAAGGAGATCAATTGCTTTCATGCGCACTTCATTCCATACAGCACACAGGTAGCACACCGACGGCCTGGTTAATATTCTGCTATGTTTGTCATGCATAGATAATCGCACTATTATGACTAAGGACTCAACTCTTTGTACAGTGTATGTAAGAAGTATGACTCACTATATGATCAGAGTGTCATATGACATGATTGCCAATACACCATGAGCAGTCTACACTGCAGAAGACATGAATTCAATAAAGGAAACCTCACCCCAAGAAATAACATTTGTACTGGTATTTATATATTACCTTCATAATCATATTTAAGAACATCGACACATCAGACAGACATTACTGATAGCCTCAATTGGGAGTTCTTAATTAAGATTCTTAAACAAAAATCAGAAATCATATATACACAGTATCAAAAATACCAGGCACATGTACAGTACATGTACATTGTAGGTCAATATGAGAACATTTGTATTTAAAGAGAAGGTTGAGTTCTGGGAAGAGGTGGAAAATAATTTGTGAGCATTACTCATTCTTATTATGCAAGTGTGGAAGAACATCATTTAAGACATGTTCCCTGAAAAGCATGGCTCTTCAAATGCCTTCATATTCTAAATATGCATGTAACATCGTAAAAATCGGGGGGCCAGCTTTTTACGCCACGTGTTCGTGTAGTCCCATATACATCTTTCTGTGCAAGTGTCTGTAACTTTACCAAGACTTGCACCAAATTTCTTATCATTTTGATGATTCCAGAACCTTGCAATACACACAAATGCTAGATGATCAACCTTTTCTGGTCGGTTCCACACCGTTTCTTTCACAATGCAATCGCATGACCAGAACTCAACTTCATCTTTAACACTTTTCATTCCAATTTCCCTTTTCACGACTGAAACTGATCATCAGACAGTGAAACTTGAATGATCATGACCATTCTTAGGAGAGAAGAGGCGCTGTCTTTGTGAGAGGGTGGCCTTTAAAGTGTGCATACTGTATGTACATGAATGTACAGGTTCCTGTAATCATCCATATTTCAATGGGAAACACTTTCCAAGGAAAACGGAAAATACAGTCTATATGGGCAGGTGGTCTTTCTATACAGGTGGTCACAAAACAGGGTTTGAATGTATGTACATATTTACCGGTATGTAAACCGGTAAGTAACACAGAAACAGGTAAAAAATGAGAATCAAAGGAAACCTTATTTTTCTGTATCAAAATACATGACACAAAACTTACTATATACTCTTGTCCAATCATATTGATGGTTGATGTAAACGAAAATAAATATATCCGTCAGTCAAACAATTTCTATTCTGAATTTGGTCAAATTCCAACAAACATCACGCATCATCATGAGGATGCACTCCTCTGCAGTCGGCTCTCATACACTGTATACATATAGGCCTACATGTAAAGTTGATCAGAGTAAATGTCATCAGGGACATTGATGAGCTTGTAGCACTATATAGCAGTCTGTGCAATCAATAACAAAAATCACAAGAACAACATCTATCCTTCCATCAATTTTGAGATGCAGACATCGGATGCGAAGTCCTTATGCTGGAAAATTTCAAAGTCTGCATAATGATCAAATCAAATTATATGAAGGTAACAAGCACGACAGCGAAATAAAATCATCGTACATGACATGTACAACCAATACACGACCGATCGAGCGGCACGCTCTACTGGAATGGCACCTTATCGTGTGTATGCCCAATGGGGATTGCACGCATCTCTTTATTAGCATTTCAAATAGTGTGCTAACAGGCAGCCTTGAGCAGCTGTGAATATTCATGATACACTGCAGCTGTATCTCATGCATGGCATCAAAAATATAGAATATTGATTTTGGTCTATGCGAGTGCAAGGTTTATGATGAGGATATTTGTGGATTAGAATTAAAGGCATATAAAGCAGGAGTGATGGAATGGAGGAGGCTTGTGCTAATACTACTTTAAATTTGTAGTGCCTCTTAGTTTCAGATTCTCGTTAATACTACTTTAAATTTGTAACTAGTGCCTCTTACATGTAGTTTCAGATTCTCTCTAATACTGAAAATGCCAATGGAAATTTAATAAACAGAAAGTTGTTTTGAAAGCTATCAAAATAAAGTTTCTTATACTGTAATGACCTCTATTAATTACAAATACAAGATATATATCAGTGAAGAAGAAAAAAAAGGGGGCTCAGAGGAATTAGCCCCCAATATGCTAAAAAAGAGCTCCCAAAAGTCATAAAAAAGCCCCCCAAAATTTGCAGAGAGTTCAATACAAAACAAATTAAAGAGTGTTATTTTCATGCAAGCAAGCTTGAAAAGTAGCCCCTCCCCCCCCCCCCCCCATTTTTTCTCCCTGATATATGCCAAATTGCCAAATGAATCATTTGATGTGCATACAACTGCTACAAGTATAAGCTCAAAAGTACACTCTACATTGTAGCTTACTGTAAATTCCTGGACATACATGTACATGTACATACATTGTAGAGTACCAGCATAATAAGGATATAATTCATTATTCAAATTGTACATGAAGGTCTACATGTACAGTATATGTACAAAATGTACCCAAACTTTTTGTGCACAATAGAATAGAGGACTTTTTAATTTTACAAGAAAATGAAATATTTTATAATTCAAAGACAGTTTTGTCATTATAAGTTTTGATGTACAGTACATGTATATACTGTACAGGTACTTATAATAACCGACTAGACATAATTCTTGTGAAAGCTAAAAAAGTTACGTCTTTAATAGTCCGTGCATAAAAATGAAAGCTTCGGGGGAAACAAATTGCACATGATGGATTAAAATATATTTCTTTTGACAATTTCGGCTTGGTTTTATGTGAAAAGGAAACAAAACACTGAGATACAGATTACGAAACAAAGTAAAAAAAAGTACAAAGTACAATTAACACAAACATACCTTCTGCCACCAGTATGATTCAAAAGCTTGCGAGGGTTCCATGTCAGACAGAAAGTGAAATCAAACATCAAAACACTTTCCTGTTATTAAAGTCCTTGTATCGTTTCATATTATCCTCATGTTTCGGATCACGAGTGTGAGGTCCAGAGGCCAAATAACTGCAGGGCTATAAATGCAGCCTACTGTGACACTCTCAATCTCCATAAAAGTTGATGATTCCTGTAATAAGACACGCTTGTGATGGTACCAGGGTAACCCTGTACAAATGCTGGTGGTCGTCCACGTTCGTATTGCTCTTACAGCGTGCACAAGTAGACAAGATAGTCACTGAAATGTAGGCTAGGACAAGCTCCACTGCTCAGCGGCTATCATCATTTTCCAGTAGCTATTTCTAGGCTTTCTACTAGCATAACATGCTCAGAATGATGAGGGTGTATGATTCCATATGGGGAGGGAAATGCAGGTAGTGTATATGTCTGTACACTCATTATTGTAAGACACACTCTACAGTCAGATCAACTCATCACGAGAAGGCTACTCATAGAGTTATTTTGAGTCCTCGCTAGCTAACACAGCTGTGCCAAGAGACACAAGTTCTGGTGTGATCGAGACAGAAAGAGAGACTAAAGAGAAAGAGAGGGAGAGAGATAGAGAGAGTGAATATATGTTGATCCACCTCTTCTCTTTGACTCTGAAGCTTATGAACAGCTCTCCAAACCTATACTTCACTATAATAGACTTCAACAGGAAAGGTGCCTGTTTTTGAGAGAAAACCCACAGCAATGTTTCGATCGAAGAACTTGATGGGGGAACCTCGTGAGTCGAGAGGGGGCAACATGCTCAAATCCTTTACTGCCAAGTTTGGGACGGTGCACGTGGCGGATGTGATTAAAAAGCTTCCTGAGAAAGTAGTTGCAATACCTGGTAGGGTAGAGGCAGCTATGCACAGGGTAGGTACAACTGTACACTCTCAAAAATTAAGTTCTTTACAATTTCTCATGATATTCTTTTTTTTAAATTCATTTGTATTGTAGTCTGACTGCATTGCAATATTTCCCTCACAAATTACTTCATAAAAAAGGGATGCAAACCAATGTGCAGACAACAAATAATATATGAATAATAACATTGCAAGAACAATGCAATTGAAAGTCTGATTGCTCTTTGGCTAAATCTAGGAATCTCACATTTCAGTCCATTGTTAAAACAGTTGGCGGTGGTATTGCTACTTCAGCAAAAACTATTTAGAAATTTGATCATGCCCTTCTGACAGGCACAGAAATATTTGCTCATTTTTCTTTTCCTTTGAACTCATTTCCATCTATTGCTGTATCAGCATCACTTTCATAGCTAATTTCATATGATTGTAACACGCTGAGAAAATCCTACAGGTACATGTACATGTACAGGTGTACATTAAGTACACGAGCAATCTTTTCCAATCTATTTATTCAGCAGAAATATATATACTTTGGACCTTGAAAGTTGCAAATCCACATGATGTAGACCTTATGTATTTTCTGAACGACTGTTCTTGTTAATTAACCCAACGCGGTTAGTGGTTACACATTTTAAATTGCTGGGGCATGTAGGCCACATAAATCATAAATACATGTAGAACTGAAATTTTCAACTCTGTGGACTGCCTTTTCACGGTCTTAATTATTTTATTTATGTAACATTCAAACACATTTTTTTTGTGTGATACATGTATATACAATGCTTGTAAAATGAAATAAAAGAAATACATTTTCAAACAAACAATTCATTCTGTCTGAGACCATTATTTAGTAATTTCTTTTTCTTTTTAAGTATTTGTATTCAATTTTGTCATTTATTTACTTATTTATTTACATGTATTTATTTATTCATCTTTTCATTGAGCTAAAATATTCATCTTTATTTACCCCTTTGATTATTTGTTTACATGTCATATATTAACTCATCTTATTTTTCATATTTGACAGACTGTATGTCTTGAACATGACACCACAGTGAGCAAGTATTGTTTCCTATTTATCTAACTTGTGATGTAAAATGTGCAATAAATGTAATGTATAGATAAAGTGTCAGCAGTCAGCCTACATGAAAGTGCACATGCATTGCATTCAAACATGTCCATAAAATGTACTGTCATTGAAATTCATATCAAGGGACACAGCGTCATTGTCAATCAAGTACAAATAATAACATTGTAATCTGTTTAATTTGCATGCCACGTCTGCAGTATGAAAAGGGCAAAATGGTCTTGAAGCAGATGTCAATAGCAAAGCTTATCCACAGCTACAATTTACATATTCCCAATACTACAAATATACATGTATGACCCATGATTGTAATACTGAGTATTATTGTCAATAAAGGATGATTTGAGCATTATTACACCATCTACAGTACATGCGGGGGTGAGTGTGTGTGGAATGCGTGTGCTTTGTACACAGTCTAGGCATTCATATGTGTAGCTCAGCTTCATGTGCCCTTGTAATATCAAAGTTGTATGAAATAATGAAAGATTATGTGCCTGTGTGTGCAATGCATCATGTACACTGTACATGTGTATGCTACAGTATGTTGTACAATAAACATGTTTTGATAGCAAGCTCTAGACACAAGTCTTGATGTGTTGAACTTTAAATAATCATAATCATTATTTCATCACAGGATTAATCAAGATAAATCCTTACACATTTGTGTTTGTTGTTTACATTATTATACATTATTTATATTTTTCTTGACGGGGAGGGGGGGGGGGGGCGGTAGGCAGAAACATAATGGTAAAACAAATCAATACTGAAGCAAAAAAAAAAATATATAAAATAGTACAATAAAGGATAATTCACAGTAGTAAGAAAAGTTGAAGGGGTAAAAAATAAATTCTTAAATCTTCATACTTTGAAAATTACACACATAACTCATAGAACATGTATCATGAACAATATTCATGAGCAGTATGCAATATCTGACATGTACACGTACATGTACTACTCAATTACGGCATCCGATATTATATAAATATTCGTTTTTGTGGAGGTTGTAACATTTTAGTTGCTGTTGTCATTGATTATCATAACCACAATCATCATTATTATGATCTTTATCATAATGATCATTATTACACAAGTTATTATTATAATCATCTTCATCGTTATTATCATGAATATTATCCTCATCATCATCAGCAGCATTGTCAGCGTCATCTAATTATAATATCATGATGAGGCCTATCATTATCTTTTTAAATTTAGAAGTACGATGAAATCTACATGCATTTTATATGCAGCAGTTCATAGTCTACATGGATACAGTGTATGCTTCCCTCTACAGAGCAATGTTAACAATTAACTTGCAGAGCACACATGCAGCCTGACATTGCTAGACTTTTAATATGTGTAGCAAGGATTATCTGAAACATGCATGAAAGTTTGATTCATCAACATGTCAAAACATGCGTCCCAGAAAAACAAAAATGAGAGTGTTCAATGTTAATTAGTTCATTTTTTGGCAAAAAGCCTACTTAATCACAATTAAAATTGATAAATGACACATATTTGTAAAGCTTACATGTAGATCCTCCTCTTTCTCTTGATGCAACTCATATGATGCATATTTCATGCACGGGTGACTAAAAACAATTTAGAGGAAGGGTACCGAAAAGTCAGTTGGCGAATTGTATCTGAATTTAAAAGAGAAAATCACATTTCCAGAAAGTTCATTTTCTGCCCTTTCATAATTATGACACCTCAATGAGGGAAAATGAGCCAGGAATAACAAAGTTCTATTTGTTTAAAGAAATGCTTGCATTTCCAAAAATTTTATTAAACAAGTTCACTTTCACTGGCTGCCTGTCATAGCAGCAAACACCAACAAACTCCGTTTCGTTGACGATCAGCCATGCATGTCGTCTTCTTTATTGTTAGGGCAGACAGCCATTTTTTCTTTTCTTAAAAAATTACAATGTAAAACTAAAATCTGTATTTCAATATTCAAACTAGAAATATCGCAATCTATATCGCAATCTGTATTGCCGCACAATGCGAATGTATCCCCCGGCAGTGGCAGCAATTTAGTGTCATCTTGATGTTTGAAGGAGAGACAAAGATCCCCTCTACCCTCCCTGAAACAAAAGGATGACGTAGAGATCGCCACTAGTGGCTCAGACTATTGTCAAGACTAGGAGCAGCATCACCAAAACAATATGTGTGTAGATCAGAATAGAATGCATCTCTGTAGAAAATTTGAAAGAAATCTGTCAAGAAATGTGGCAGTTAGAGCGCACAAAAGACAGCCACCAAAATATGACCTTTGACCCTATAACAGATGATACACATATGTGGCAGCATCACCAAACACTAAAGATGTGTAGATGTACTAAGACACACCTCCATACATGTACAACATTTGAAATAAATCCATAAATAAATGTGGCAGTTAGGGCGCATGAAAGATATATGACCTTTGACCATATAAAAGACGAAACTATGAGGGCAGCATCGCCCAAAAAAGTAGATGTGTAGATTTTACCAAGATACATCTCCATACAAAATTTGAAAGAAATCCGCTATGAAATATGACCTGCAGAGCATGCACTACATGTAGTAGACACCCACCAAAATATGACCTTTTGGCCCTATAAAACAAGGGACACTGGTGGCAGCATCACCAAAACTATAGGTGCATAGATTTGACCAACATACACTTACATACTCAATTTGAAAGAAATATTTCAAGAAATGATGCAGTTAGAGTGCACTAGAGTGCACCTGAGACATCTATCAATACATGACCTTTGACCCTATAAAAGACGGAACACTGGAGGCAGCATTGCCAAAATCTATAGGCTTGAAGATTATAACAAGCTACACCTTCATTCAAAATTTGAAAAAAATCCCTTGAGAAATATGGCTTTATAGAGCGCACACAGACCATCCACAAAAATATGACCTTTACCCTCATCGAAGAATGAACACTGAGGGCAGCATCACCAAAAGTTATACATGTAGGTGTGAAGATTATTAAAGGCTGTGCATACTGCATACCGGTAAGCATGTAATGAGGTACCCGAATACACTCCCAGGCTTACAGGCGAATACCCGAATACTGGCCAGGGACCGTCCCATTTTTCGAGTATTCGCCTGTAAGCATGGGACGCCATGTTTTTTTTTAATTGAATTTTTTTTGCCACCACCATACTACTGTAGAAGAAGAAGAAGAAGAAGAAGAAGAAGAAGAAGAAGAAGCATCCCAGATCCGTCTCTGAAAACTCACGCAATTTTACTTTGAGTAGCAGTTGAAGGCCCTGATTTAATAATGATAATAATAATAGTAACCGGTAACAATGCTGTTTTTAAAACCAAAGATGTCAGATTGTCAGACTAATTTTCCAAACAGAAATCCAGACACTTGCCGATAATGATTGTTTTAAGATCTCCCTAGGGGCAACAAAGTCTTGCCAATAATTATCGTCTTTAGATCTCCGTAGGGGCACCAAAGTCTTGATGATAGTTATTGTTTTTAAATCTCTGTAGGGGCAACAAAGTCTTGCCGATAATTATTGTTTTTAGATCTCTGTACGGGCAACGAAGTCTCACTGATAATTATTGTTTTTAGATCTCAGTACGTGCAACAAAGTCTTGCCAATAATTCTTGTTTTTAGATCTCCGTACAGGCAACAAAGTCTTGCCAATAATTATTGTTTTTAAATCTCTGTAGGGGCAAGGAAGTCTTGCCGATAATTATTGTTTTTAAATCTCTGTAGGGGCAAGGAAGTCTTGCCGATAATTCTTGTTTTTCGATCTCCATAGGGGCAACAAAGTCTTGCCGAAAATTATTGTTTTTAGATCTCCGTAAAGGCAACGAAGTCTTGCCGATAATTCTTGTTTTTAGATCTCTATAGGGGCAACGAAGTCTTGCTGATAGTTATTGTTTTTAGATCTCTGTACGGGCAACGAAG